GAACATATCTCACCAAGCACAGACTAGCACCAAATCTAGTAGTAATAGGTTCATCCCTACCAAAAAGTAAAAAAAAATTTGCAACCGAACGCCACTTCAGCAATTGTGTGAAAAATCTATCATGTCTATGGAGAGTCCAGAAAATTTTACAAATACATGTGGTATTTCCTAACAACATTGGAAATGTTTTTCAGTCCCAGATTCAAGTCTTATCATCATTTTTGCAATGAATGACCTTCATTGAGAATATGTATGAAGAAAAAAGTGGTGTCGGGTTTCAACATTCTTTCCCCAAAAAGTACCATGCGACTGCTGACAATAAAAAAGCATGTACAAGTACAAACGGCAGGATCACCAAAAAAGAGCAGTAAAGTTCATGCCCATTCCATAAAAACAACAGCGATTCATGTTCCTGATATCGTCAGTCCCCCTGAAGCTACGCGATACTATTTCTAGCATTCCTAACACCCACTTGTGATTCCTAACCAATTCCTAACACGCTGTTAGGAATGCGTTAGGTATTGGTATCGAATGTCATTCGGAATGTTCGCAATCGTTATCGAGCGTAAGTAAAAACGTAAACAAATTAAACAAAAAGGGGACATAACTGAACATATGTAAATATATGAAACAACAAACCTATCAGGCGTATAGGCAACAGTAAACTTAAGTGATGTTTTCCCTGGCCTTCTTTTTATCGTGTTCACATAAATCTATATATGTTCTTAATTCTTATCTTTGGGTTTTTGATCTTCTGTTTTCAATTGTGATCTTGGTTATATTTGTTTATATCTCTTTAACTTTTTAGATGTTTAATCATCTTAGAGTCCCATTTTGTCTCTTTATTTTGGAATGATGAGGATACTGTCTCCTGCTTGTCTGTTGGCCATCAATCTCTTGCCGTGCCAAGCATCTGAACATGTAGGTCTGGCAATGGTTGTACCACTGTGCACACTTCACTGGGGTGATGGCATCCAGGTTTGTGACGGCAACCTCTTGTAGGACGTCACATCTCCACTGATGCATGTTCATCCCCGCTCGATGGGCTGCAGGGGTATCTCCAACGCGTCTTTGCCATTCGGGAAGTGCAAGCATTCTCTTCACTGCAGCCTTGAAGGCAGAATGTGCCATTTCAGTACTGTTTAGAAATGGCGAGTATGGAGGAAGGCGTTTTAACTGAATCAGTGGATTGGTTCCTACCGGCAGTTGGGCATTTACATGGGGCCTGGCGTTGTCATAGATGAAGTGTATCTCTTCATCTCCTGGAAATAGATCACCGCATTCTGGAACGATAGCAGCTAGGAATCCTTCAAAGTGCTCCCGTGTTACAGTCTCGAATGAGATTTGATGATGTACAAGGCCAACCTCACCAGAAATGGCAAAGGTCACATTGCAGTTTTGGCCCCTGTGTCCGTGTACCACTCATCTTGCGGGTATCCGTCTTGAAGCTCTGCCTTGAGATCGTCTAGTCCAGATATTGTAACCTGTTTCATCTATAGATGCAGTGGCTGAGGACTCCCTCATGCAAGAACCACTGGGCATACTCTACGTGGAGTTCCTTGCATCCGGGAGTTCCTTGCATCCGGGAGTTCCTTGCATCCGGTACATCTTCTGCCAGCTTTAGTGTCAGTAGCATTTCGTCCAGTGCCCTAGCTATAGTGCTGGTGGAGACTTCAGGTTTTTCCGGCAGGCTTTCCCTTAAACTTCTCTTCATCTGTTCAAGGGTCAGAAGTGGGTTGTTCTCAATGATCTCTTGAAGATGAACTCTCATGTCATCGTCCATTTTTGTGTTTCTGGCTCCTCCTCTTGGCAGGTTTTCCCGTCTGCCAGATCTCAGATACGTTGCTATAATTGACCTGGCTATTGATCTGTTTATGCCAAGATTGTCTGCAAGTTCAAGATAGTCTTGGGCATTGCCATCGAAAGCTTCGATCAAACGACCACGGTCTACATTTGAAATTCTCATGTAACGCCCATGAGCTGCCATGTTGATATTTCTAGTGCTTCAAGCTAACAGTGTGCACGGTGATCAGAGTATTGGCAGAATCTTGTTGGAGACAGGTTTTTATATCCATACTTCCAAATTAGAACAAAGGTACTCCATCTAATTCGAACAAACAACGGATTGACATAAACCTATTTCGAATTCATTTGCTTACTTTTCACAAATGCCTGCTTAATGGTGAATTTGAATGACCAAATTTAATACACAGCTGGAAGCTCCAGCGAATTTGGATGCTCGTTTGTGCAATTTTAATTTGAATGCTCTGTTGTTAAAATTGCATGATTAAAATGTGAAATCACATGCTTCAAATGTTAAATTGATTGGGGTTTTTAGCTAATTGAATGTTGATCTCAACGTGCATTCAAATTCAGTCGCAACAGAAATTGATCCTTCAATTGAAACAGACTTAAATTTGATATTCCAGTGAAAAGCCCTAACTGATTTAGAAACGGAACGTCTAGTCTGTGTATGCTCTGTCGGTATTCATGAGTTTTAGGATGCTCGTGTTTATGCAGCACATCAATTATTGAGATGACAAAAGCGTACGGTTGGTGGGTCCACGAAATATACCCCCCCCCCTTGACGGTGACGGACTGTTCGGAAAGGACGCCAAGTCTCTGCAAAAAAATAGTGAATATGGGGACGAGGCCTTAATTATAAGCAATACATTGCTGCCAAATCAGACATCACAGACTCATAAAATTTGGTTTATATTCTTACACACAAAACTGCAATACTTAAAGAAAACAGTTCAAAAGTGTTAAACTTAATGAAAGATATTGTTTATATCATACTTTAACAATTTTTATAGTTACAGTTATAAAATATTAAATTTAATATTGCTGCAGTCAAATAAAAAAGACAGGATTAAAAGTACATACCTATTAGTTTATGACAGCAGATTGTATCTTGAGGTTCATTGATATCATACTCACGATTTTTTCAGGCATGTGGTCAGAAAAACTCCAAACAAACTTTGGCAAGATGTGTCGTTATGTGCCATCAGCAAGCAGCCTGATTTTAGCCTGCAGTGCATGAGCACCATGATACTGCACACAAAGAAATACTAAGTGATAGGTAAATTATTATATTCTCCCGAAGAATATAGTAGTTTACCTGTCACTTAGTTTCTTTTCAAGGCTTGTCAGGGAGTTTGCAAGTTCCTGATTGGCCATGTTGTTCCACACCGGTCGCTCTTCATAGTTTTGCACAAGCATGTAAGCAGCTTCCCCTCCACGTCCCTTGTTGAACGTTGAACATGATTATCCGAAAGAGAACAGCTTCAACAAAGGCTGTCCACGTTGTTGGGCTTGGGGATTTCTGCAAAGCATTGGTTTTATTTATTGAAAGATATTTCAATCGTAATGTCATTTTGTACGTGCTGTTTTTGAAAGACCTAATTAATTTACGTAGTTGAAACATGAAATATCTCAGGGACTGCCAATTCTCCTAACATGCAGGTTACATACATGGCTAGAATTGGGTTGTCATGGTAGAGTTAAGTAGAAACATTATCTCCAGAGCCTCATAGAAGATGAAAGAAGTAATTAAATCACCACAGAAGTATACTGCATGCCATTAATTAACTAAATATAATTAAGAGGCCAATGTTCACTATTGAATTAAAAGTAGTGTCTTCCTCATGTGCAATGCACACATATACTCTCAGTCACTGGGTAGTCATTCTGGCTGATACAATATTGTATGGCTTTGAGGGGATACAAGAATATATTGCACGCGCTATAACAATTTTGCACGAGTCAAAGATGAGTGCCATATTGTTCTTGCGAGTGCAATACATTGTATCCCACAAAAAAAGCCATCCAATATTGTTTTAATTTATATCAGGCTGACTTGATCCGCAAGAAATATATTTCAGGAAACTGTCTTTATTCTTCACTTACCGAAGCAACTTTCACACTGCTTGAAACTGCCATTGTGGTGTTGACAACAGTGCGCGTATATATGCGCACTGTGTCCGTGTGCGATAGTAGGCCTACAGTGCGCTTTGCTTGACTGGTTGACACTGTGAGTTTCTACGCTCTTGATTGTGCGGGAACCAACAAAAATGCCCCGGATGAGGACAATATCAAAAACAATATTGCAGTCATCTGGGTACTTTCACTGACATAATATTGCAGTCATTGTGGAAGCATACAATACACTGATTTATTTTTACCTCTGGAAGCCAGATATGAATAATAAAACATCATGTTTTTGCTCCTAGACTCCCAACTTTGCAACAGTTGTGGTCTTGTCTGGTTGTTAAATTCAACATTATTAGATGAATTACACTGTTAACTTTGTATTCTAGAAATTTAAAAAATGTGTTAATGAAAACATCTTGAATGAAGTTATTTGCATATAACATGTATGATTGGCTATATAAAACAAATACAACATAGCTTGAGGGGAAGAATTGCAGAATGATTGTTACATGTACAATGTACCTTTGTATTGGCTGATTTTGACTACCTCCCTCAGCAACATCTCAGATGTGAGAACTGCAAATTGCTACTTTGATTGGTTCAAGACGAGTTACTTGCATCAGACAAGGATAGACCCATTTCCTCTCTTTGTGAAATAGGAGCAAGCTCTACATGTATATACATGTATCTTTACGACATCCTCATCATTAGTAAACCATGGGGCAGTGTGTGGCCCCTGTGGACATATCGTCTACCGCCAAGCTGGAGAAGAGACCATCTCAGTCTCAGCCTTGATCTGTGGTGGATGATGACGGCCCTGTCCCAAATTGCATACGGTGGACAGAACCTGACAACCTCATGCATTAAAGTCAGAGAGAAGGTTTACACACAGCATATTACCGGTAGTTGTAGCTACCTGGCACATTAGTATCTCACCCTGAGTTCCTCACCCTGGGAAATGTTCCATCATTATCAAAAGGGAGCTTGACCGATATACAATGCAACAAAAAGGTATACGTTGACTTGGGAAGAAATAGCCTCAGCTCTGGACTTTGCAGGTGATCAAGATGAATAGCGAGAAGCACTCAGATCTCCAGCTCCTTGTAGATGCCACCAACAACCAAGCCAATAGCATTGGGCTTGTTGTCAATGCTAAAAAGACCGACAATCTTACAGAATGGTGAGCAGCAAATACTAAGGGATGTCTTCATTGACTAAAAACGAGTTGAAGTAGTAGAGAACTTCAGTGACTTCAATGGTTCCATTAACAACAGAAACCCTGTCAATGAACTAAACTTGACAGACTTGCAAAGCATCAGTGGACTTTAACTGGCTCAGGAAAATCTGGAACAGCAAGGAGATGTCTCCTAGATTTGACAACTCGAACATGCTCATCAAATTTTCTTGCAACTGTGAAACCTGGCAACTTAGACGAGCCAAGAGAAAGAGCTGGATGATCTTGACACAAGAGCCCTTTGTAGGTTTCTTGGCATCGGATGGAATGACTTTGTTTGAATGATGAGCAAGGAGAATTCCAAGCAGCTCTCTGTGCCATCCATCACCTCACTTTACATCTCCACTGCCTGGGCCATGAACTGATGCTGATCATTTCCCATCAAGACCTGCAAACAACGTCTTGCATTGCATTCAGGCAAACCTGACAAAGACAGGATGACAGATGACTGACTGTGGAGAGGGACCTCTGTCTGGTCAACAAATGATGGGGTGACACCAGGGGACTGGCTGGGAATGGAAATCGATGGAGTGCCGTGACTGCCTCATGTGTGCAAAGTTGAAAAAGTTGAAGAAGCAATGGGGAAAAGGCCACGTCCAAACCTCTTTCCTGGAGCTCGTCAAGGTTTTGGACATTTTGTGGGCACATGCTGACTAGAGATGTGTTTATCGCCCTGGATGCTAGTTTCGAGCACAACCTAAGTCTCCACTTCACACTGGGAGGTAGTCAAACCAGCCAATACCTCGGAGCCAGTAACCTGGCATGAGTTCCCCTCAAGCTAATGTTGTATTTTGTATCTTGTTTACTTATTTGTAGGCAGCTGCTTTACATAGATCACCATGGCAACAGGAGGGGGAGTGGTCCCAGGAACCTCTTACACCATCGGTGGGGTGAAGGTGGAGTTCCCATGCAAGGCTTACCCAACACAGCTCTCAATGATGTCTATGGTGAGTGGTGATGGATACACATGTACTGTACATGTATGCACACACAGACCATGGCATAAGGTGAACTAAGCTACACATAGTTAAATATGGACTTGGTACATCTCTTCTCTGTCAAATTTGAGGTGAATTTCTTTGACCAAAAGATCCCATGGGTTTGTGCACATTCATGAAGAAAAAATGTACTGTTGGACGGGCCGTCACTGCGTTATGGGGACCTTTTTTTACCCCTCAGCCGAGAGGCTCGAGGGGTATTGTCATCGCCTACGGCGTCCGTCCGTATGTCCGTCCGCCCTTACCAGGGACCACTTGTTGGGTACCCGTCCTTTGTTCGAGGTACCCCACAAATAAAATCTGTTATTTAAATTTTTTATTGTTAGGCCAATTTGGACCGAGTGATGGGGACTTTCTGCTGTCCCCACAGCATCTTCTTTCCCCATAGTACCATGGAACAACTCGTGTGTAGTCCCAACAGTTACAGAACAATTATGTGTGTACTCACACAGGTTAAGTGAATCAGTGTGCACACGTGATGTGTCCTTCCGTGGCTATCATGAGTAGGCTGCACTTTAGCTTGCATGATAAGCAATGGTAATGGAAACATTTAAAAGCGCAAAATGCGATCGGTCTTGCTGGCCCTGTTATGGAAACATAACTTATATTAAATCAACTTAATCAAAATTTGACAATTGAAAGTTGTTGATTATATCAGTAAAGAGTCTGAAAAAAGAGAATCTTCAATTTTATTCTTAAACAAAGTTGTTCCAAGTACTATGTCTTCAATTTTGAAGTCTAAATTTCAAAATGTTTGCCATTTTCTTCAAATGTTAAACTATGTTTGCTCTCATAATAAGCATCCTGCAAATGTACAATAAAGGCTAAAAATAATTGGAATAAGGTTCAAATTTATTAATGTGTTTGGCAAGGAAAACAAGCTTTTTGAGAAGTTGCCAATAAAACGAATTGTCACATCACTCTCTTGTTTTACTTTTAAAATGAAAAGATAACCCCTTTCTTTTCCAGATCATCAAGGGGATTGAACGACGACAGAACAGTTTGTTAGAAAGTCCGACAGGCAGCGGTAAAAGCTTGGCTCTGCTGTGTTCCTGTCTGGCATGGCAACAGAATGAATATAGTAAGTCAAACCTAATGGCATTGTTTCTAGTCACTCACAGTGACTCTTGTCATGACTATTGTTACAGCTAGATTTTCTGTTAACACCGTTTGGGCCCCACCCCCAAAAGAGGCAAAATTCTGGATTTTTGTTTTCGTGATGTAGCACTTGGGTGAGCTGTCCAAATGCGAAAAAGAAAAGTGTAATTATCAGAATTGTTTTTTGTGCGCACATCCCCAAATTTTTAATGTCATAGTCTCGCCAATAAAGGGTCAGAAAAATAGTCATCAAGTGGTTTTGAACTTGTTGAGGTATCCATAAGTGATCCAGAGAGTTTCAAAGAGTTTACCCAAAAATGCATATGGCCCCCCACTGACCACTGACTTGTGTTTTTGTTTTCATTCACAGAAAAACGCAACGAAGAAGACATTGAGGCAGGTATTTTTGAGCAAAACGGTAAGTCCTTTATGCTGACTGTAGCACCGGATAGAAGGAAGGGAAAAAAATCACATTAATCTAAAATATTGTGGCAAGTCATGGGTTGTCCAGAGTTTTCAACATTGTCACGGTCTTGTACCAACATGTTCATGTAACCCTTTGTACTATAAAGTAAGTGTATGCGTCAACGCACGTGCATTGCCAGAACATGCATAAAGCTCTTTGAGAACGCACCGCCAAGTTCCAATGCTGCTCTGTGTGTAGTGGGCGCAGTTTATGTTGAAAAGACGTCGCACTTACAAACCAGATTAGGAGCAGCACATGTATAAATCCTTGATAAAAACAATGACATGATTAGAAAGTCAGGTTGCATTTCTAGTTTACTAAAAAAAAAAGTCCTTTTAATGCCAATTTTTTTTCAGTATTTTTTCTCAACTGATTATTTTCCTGTTTTGTTTTTATATTAGAAATATCAATATTTTAAAACACCTTTTAGAGTCGCACTGGGCCTCTTCGACCCCCCTTCCACCGTATGCTTTGTACAACTGTGAAAATTGTGAAAACATTGGATAAAATTACTCTGCCTGAAGTAATCTACTAAAGAGAGCAAAGTTATTGCGATAAAATGCAACTTTTGTCACAAATAGCCATGGTTTAAGACCAAGCAATGAATTTCTGACTTTGTGAAATACTTCTCCCCACAAAAATGTCACACATCCCACAGAATTAGCATCACTCTTCAAAATTACGAGTCAAAATAGAAATGACAGTTTCCAATCAAAACATCTGATGGCATTTTACATGTTACATGTAACTTCAGGGCACTACTGAGCTTAAATTAAATTAGATTTGAAACTTTGTAGGCAGGTAGTGTAAAGTAGTGAGGGTTTCGATAACATCATGTGGAAGAATCTTTTTTGAGAAGATGTGTGATTCTGAAAAGAACCAGTTGGTTGTGAAATTCAATCTTCCGATCAGTATGCTCTGATCGTCTTCAGGAGAAAACAACATGCAATCACAGCATACTCTTCAGAACGTCGAGTTTCACAACCAACCGGTTCTTATCAGACCAACACATCTTCTTAAAAGAGATTCTTCCACATGGTGTCACCGCAAAACCTCACTTCAGGCTTAAATTGTCCCCTATAAGCCTTGTGATGATTTAGACCTTTTGGTATCATTACAGTTTACATGTAGAAGCATTCAATCAAACACTCCATTTTTTTGTATTATTCAGAGTGCCAAGGGAGTTTTGTCTGTACTTGTGATTGTAGCAAGACATCACCTCAACAGTCAGCCAAACCGTGTACAATTACTTCACCCCCTGTTGAGAATGAGTCTGCTCCAGCTGCAGCACACCCGTCCAGCAACAATGGAACTTGCCAACCCGCGAACTCAAACGGTAGTTGTTGCAGTCAAGGTGACAGTGCTTAAGTATTTATTACTATATGTTTACCTCATACATATTCATGAGCGTGAGCTGAATTCTTACTGGTCCAATCACCATCATGTGTATGCTGTTAGTTTTGCTTTTTATGACGTGCGCACGGGAGGATTCCACCTAGGGTGTAAAATACATGCACGCATAGGCGACTATTGCATAGGTTATCCATGCCATAGTCTACAATGCATGCTCTTAATACCAGGGTTCCCGTGTCCTGGAAAATGCCATTGAATTTTGTTTTCAATAAGCCAGTTCGGTAATAGTCTAGGTCAAAGGTCATTTGAGATAGAATCGCTGACGTGATGTTACGCGATGTTACGCCATGTCATGCGAACGCCCGTTCTGCTCATAATTAACAAGCCTTGTGCGCCCGGTAACCTGTGCGTAAAAGCGGCTTCGATGCGCGTTCAATTATCCTGAATGACCTATGACCTATATCATTGTGTATCATTGAAAAGTCATGTTTTTTTATAAGACCAATTTTTTTACAAATTTTCTTTTGTGTATTCATAATTTAGCATCGGAAATCTGATTTTTATACCTGACAAAACGCGACAAATTTCGTTGATACAAGCATTTTTGATTTCCAATTTTTATTTCCATGTTTTTCTGTTTCGGTTAAGTACTTTGCACAGAACAAGTTTCACAGTTTTGATCTGCATTTTGATGAACTAGGTCATGGATTTTCGTAATTTGGTAATAAAAAAGTCATGGGATTATCTTGTCCTATTAAAGTTGCAGGAACCCAAATACTTAAAAGCAATCGTGGAACTATTGTCCAGACAAGCAACTTTTTCTCCTTTAGCATTTCATACTATTCATTACAAAGTGTTAAATTTAGGGTATCAACAAAACAGTTTTAAAGGGAATATACATCATTTGCTTTTGCTGTAATTTTCAGAAATGGATGGAATTGGGGGGTTGGAAATATAAAGCAAATATAGATGCACTGACTTTTTGAAGGTTTTGGGTTTGAAAATGCTATAAAAACCAAGAAAAACGATCATTTTCCTGTAGTCTGGTTCCCTGACTCCATATAAGAAGAAACAGAGCAGTTTACATACATTGGGGAATTGTAAGGTCAGGGAACCACTCTAGCTGGCTCGTACCCGTTCATAGGTTTGTAATCGATTGCAAACAAGTGCAATGGTCAATTGGGGCCGGTATTTGAAAAAAAAGCCAGTTGTTTCCAACGCTGATCGGCCGATCAGCGTTGGAAATTGATACAAAAATACCACTTTTCTTGAAAATGACAGTATACCAGGTGCCATAATTTTACAGGATGCTTTAGACTGTCATTTACCAACATCCTATTAAGGTATTTCGCAAAAACTTGGTAGTTTTGTTTTTCGATGTTTGCAAATGTTGTATATTCCCTTTAAGAAAGTCATTTTTTTCGTGGAAAATTGATATTTGTCGGGATTGAGTCGTGAGTTTTAATACTTGATTTTGAATTTGTTTTCAACATTTCCTATGTTCTTGCAGCTTACGTGGGGATTACATGTATATACTATGGTCTATGAATTAATTTGCTTAATTTTTTATTGTTGGTTTGTTTTTTAGAAAAAGCTCCAAGCACTTCAAAAACTGAAGTTATAGTGATAGATGATGATGATGATACTGATTTTCAGCCAAGCAAGAAGAGATATCGAACACCAGGAGCTAGCGGGGTATGTCAATCACTATACATTCACTACATGTACATGTACCATTCTGACCCTTATGCGCAACCACAAGATGGCGCTATTACAATGAAAAAAAGTCTTCCACACACATTTAAAATGCAAGTTTGAGAACGCTTTTTTGATTAGTGATACATACATAAAAACAAAACAAAGAGAGAACAACAAAATGGCCACAGTTTATTGGTAATTTTAGTATATTGTAAATTAAGGTATTTTGTTTGCAGAGTGTAATTGTGCATCAATGTGATGTCATTTCTAGACAAGTTTGAAGTCATTTATTTTGCATTTGTATTTACCAGCACTAAATTCTGTTTATATTATTTTAATCCTTTCTTGGGAATGAAAACGACGGTTCCTTAAAGGAGACTTAGCAATCGGCAAAACAAACATTGGAAGAAGAACCTGGAATGATATATAAGGAAAACCCATGGAATCAGGCACATAAACTCAGTCCACAAGTTGAATGGGATTCACAAGGATGGCAGTTTTACAGCTATATCCGGAATTTGGGCTTCTTCGTGATTAGGGAAGAAATCTCGCACATGTCATCTATTCGCAGGCCAAAACAATAAATACATGTATTGTGTGCATGGAGAGGAAAAAAAACCTGCCAAATGTTGTCATTCAGCCAGTAGGAAAATTCATTAAACGTTGTTTGATAGTCATAAAAAAAATTTGTTTAATTTAAAAGCTAAGTGTACTGGTACGCGAGTCTTGGATAATTGTGCGTGCCTGCCCAATGGGGGTTGCCATGCTAGCACGATACACAAATGTTTGTATTGTACGTTCATGGACATACGTATCACGTGTGTGGTGTTGCGACGTTATGGTATGTATGGTGTATTGTGATTATGCCAAATTTTTCAGGCCCTGGAACAAAAAAAAACACTGCCATCTGTGGATTTAAAACTGGATTATAGAGAAAGAAACCAGGAAAGTATGACTGCACCAACCTGACTCCTTGTCTGATTGATATATTGACTCAATGTGTGCTACAGGGAGTATGTAAGAAGAGCAAAGGTACCAAGGGCGTTGTCTTTGAAGATCCTGCGGATGAGAGTCCCCCTGATGCTAAGACCAACCCTCACACACAAGCTCACTGGCAGATGAAACTCAAGACAGAATCAGGTACTCATGTCAAGGGTTACGTCACTCATGTTTTTTTTAAAAGAAAACAAGTGGTAACAGGCAGATGTTGTAGGTGGAGTGTCATGGCCTAGCAGTTAAGAACACCGGACTCATGCTCTGGTGTTTCAGAGGCAACAGTGGCCTGGGTTAGAGCCCGCCGGACACTTGTGCCCTTAAGCAAGGCACTTAACCATTATTGCTTTGTCTTTCGGATGGGACGTAAAGCCGTAGGTCCCGTGTGTTCTATAATGCACGTTAAAGAACCCAGAAACACTTGTCGCTAAGAGAAGGGGTTCGCCCCGGTGTTTCTGGAAGTGCAATTATCTTCAGCCATGAAGTCTGCACTTGTAAGGAAGGAGGGAAGGTATGAAGGCCCTACCATGCCTACTGAACCATACAGAAACCTACATGGGATTCAGTACAAAAACACAAAGACCCTGTGTAGAGATAAACCTTGGGTCTAGTAGCTGAAAGTCAGTTTGACTTCCAACCAGTCAATGAAGCTGGAAATCAATGAGATTAAAGACCTCTGTGCGCCATCTTGAATTCAGCTAATATCCATTATCAAGCTTCATCACAAGTGAGGCCTACTACAGTAGTTCATAATCTTGTTCATGATTTACAAACTAATGCAACATGATTTTATTTTGAGATTATTACAACATTACTGGTACCTTGATGTTTTCTGAAATGATTGCCTTCTACTTCTTCCCTCAAACCATGGGGTTATATTATACAATCAAAAATGATTTTTCGCCACAGTCAGTGAGGATTCTGCAAAGTCGTCTTGTCCGTGTCCCTGTCATTCTTCAAAGGTCAAGGACCTAGAAGGCAAGCAGAAAGATACCTACAAATGTAGAAAGTAAGTCAAATAGAAATCATCTGTTGGAAATTTAGAATTATACTGGTTTCAAATCAACTTGCATTTTGCTTACTGTGATGTGTGCTTTGTGTAAGTAAACATTTTTGCTCTGAGGAACAGTTCACGTTTCTTTTTTTCCTGTTTTTACTGTTCTTCGTTACTTTGTAGAACTTAAGTCATAGTTGCTGAGTATTAACTTCGGGACTCCTGGCAGGCATTTATTATGCTTCGGGGTGTAACTGAACATTTGTGTTTAACTGAACGGACTTTTGTATTAATTGTCACACATTTCGCAGAATCCCTAAGATTTACTTCGGCACACGAACTCACAAGCAGATTGCTCAGATTGTGAGAGAACTCGGCAGAACAGCCTACAAGGACGTTCCGTAAGTAGTGATTTCAATCCTGAAAATGTATCATGACGACTCAGATCATTTCCAATTTTCCAGAAACTCGGGTTTCATGCTTAAAATTTGTTTGGTCATCTGAAGTAATAATGATTTTGAGAAGGTAGTAAATTTCATCCATTCTTTTAAATTAATATGCAGTGTCTGAAATGTAATTGCTGAACCGTCATTCCTTTCATATTATTTTTTTTTTTTAAGACTTACAGTTTAGAAATTATACATGAGCAATCATGAATGTTTCTTTTTGTTTGTTCTTGACTATCTTAGCATGTGCATACTTGGTAGTAGGGAGTATACATGCGTCCACCCAGATGTATCAAGGAGTTTCAATAAAAACGATGGCTGCAAAGAATTGCTGGATGGACGAAATGTAAGCCGAGTTTAGTATGCTCCTAGTTTCAGAATTACCGGGTTTTTTTTACAAAAATATATGTTTTAAAGAAATTACCATCTTTTTGCTGTGAGACTACATATAAAAACAATTTGACGCTTTTTTGTATATCGTTAAGAGAAATTCTTAATGTTACTGTCCATTTGTTTTGTCTCACTTTTTCTTCCCCAAACCTCCAACATATCACAAAAATTCAGAATTTTTCTAAACCATTGCAGTGGCAGCCTTTTCAGAGTTGTAGCCAAGTTGCCACAAGTCAATCACATGTCATCCAGTTTCAGTCCAAGTCACAAGTCATTCAAGTGATTTGTGATTAAGGCATTCCTTTGTCATTGTTCATCCCTTGTTACTTGTGACCTGAATTATTTGCCCACACTTTTTCTCAGCATATTAGTTTCTTTACCTGTAGGGTCGTTCCTGTAGATACTACAACGGAGCCCACAAGATGAAGAACCAGTGGCAGCTCAGGGACCGTGGTCTGACTGAGGCGTGGGATATTGAAGACCTGGTCTCACTAGGCAAGAAAATCAAGGTATATCAGGCTGCACGGCAGTGGCAGAGGCTCTATTTCTTGGGCTTGTTGAGCAGAAAATGTTACTTAAAAAGACCTTGAAATGTATTTTCTTTTCAAGTTTAATTTGTGGATTGTTTTCTTGCAGGCGTGTCCATATTTTGCAGTGCGTTCTCTCAAAGATGAAGCAGACATCATCTTCTGTCCATACAACTACCTGATTGATCCAATGATCCGAATGACGGTATGTCAAGAAACCCTCTGATGTTCAGAGATCAAAGCAAATATCTTGCACTGATACTGTTCATGTAAAATCATAGATGTCAGATGTAACAGAGGCCGGGGGAAAAGTGGGAAAAGAGCCTGGCGACAATCAATAAAAAGTACATGGCAGTTTCACTTGCATGTTATTGCAGCAGTGAAACTTATCTGTGCTCCCGAAAACTTGAATACTTGGTATCTTCAGGATTGCCCATAATTGACCTATATCATGTTCCTTATTCCCTAGATGGATATTAACATGAAGAATCAGATTGTTGTCTTAGACGAGGCCCATAATATCGAGGACTCAGCGAGAGATGCTGCTAGCTGCAGTGTGACTGCTGACCAGCTAGAAGAGACAGTAGCTGAGCTAGATAACCATAGTGAGTAGGCAACAGCAACAGTTACAGAGGCTTCCTATCCAAGTGGATAGTGACCTCATAGGTTTAGCTATCTGTATCTTTTATGGACCATTCCGTTGTTTTGCATTGTGTATGCATACGTATGTGCTTAGTTGTTTGGACCAAAGCACCAATCCAAAATGACTGCCTCCAATGAAAGCCTCGTATCTGCAGCTAGTCAAATCATACATGATTAAATAATCAGAAAGATGGTGATATAATTATTATTATTATTATTAATAATTTCTGGTAATGAAACCAAAGATTCCTCAAAAGCGCCCTAGGCACTGTAGCTCGCAAGCCTGAAGAAACCTATGGAGAGAAGTCAACGAGAAGTTGTGACTGTTTTAGAGGTGGGAGGAAAAGCCCAGAAGAATATTCTGGGGAAAACCCACAGAGTCAAGTAGGGACTGAAAACCCAATCCACATATTGGCCCAGGCGGGATTCAAACCCAGGTCACAGCGGTGGAAGGCGAGGAAAGTACTGCTACCCAACCTGACTCCCCTTATTTACTATGTCGTTTCAACTGACCCAAAGTGCGCGACATATCTGTGCATAACGGATAGCAAGTTGAGTATGACGTCACAAGACCACACAAATTGATGACCTACATGTATCTGGTTCACTTACCGTATCCGTTCGCTTGTGAAACCTCTTTATGCTCATGGAGCTGCATATCAAAGAACAAAATGTGCTTGGCAAAAACATAGAATGGAGACCTCACATCACACATGTATATGACAGCAGGCAGTGCCCTTAACGTTTCTAATATCTCTTTAGTTGTTGCACCTATACAATACAATGCAACCATCTCTGAATTCTTATTGTACTTCTTTGGTATGCTGACACATCACATGGAATCAGCTTCCTATTTGTATATGTGTGGATATTAAAGCTTCTCTTCTATGTTTTTCGAATTCATCACGAAAAATAAAGTTTGGTTTTAAATTGCTATTTTCTAGCAATAGAAAATTTGTTCACTTGGAAATGAGACTTTGAACAAAAACTCCACCCATGTTCAGTTATGGAGTATCCACTGTACAGATTGTTGAATTGTTTGCAGCCACATAATAATAAAGGTGTATCTCTATGTGCGTTATGGGTGCAAAAACAACCATAAAAGCGTAATTTTCGTGGGTTAAAATCATCCAAAGTAGAAGAAGAAAAAACACACCGCATGCACATACATGTATGGTCCCATGGTACGTCCCATGGTACGCACATGTTATTTTATTGCGTGAATGCCGACAATGTGTTCAATGTCTCTCCCAGTGGTCTCCCCCAACTCTCCCTTTCTAACCGTTGAGGGGGTATTTGTGCACGGAGCTTATTGAGTAAATCTGCAGTTACAGTATGTTTTCTTACTAAGAAATTGTTATTCTCACTCTTTGTCAATTTTTGTAGACACTCTTAGGATGATGGTCTATGAAATGTTCATCTGAAAATGTCTATGAAAATTATGTGAAAATAAGAATGGCTTCTTGTTTGTTTCAGTTAAACAGGAGTGGAGAGAATACCATTGTAGAGTCATGCACACAGTGGTAAGTTTTTTCCCAATAAAATATAAAATTGAAGTATTTGTTGGGTGAGTGCGGAAAATGTAATTCAAATCACTGAAGCTTGCTCTACTGGATTTCATGGTTTGTGGAATTACAAATAGTGCGTTCGATTACTTCCCCCCGCGCTTACTCGTGCAAGCGTGACTGCGTTTGATTTACCTCTCACGTGACTTCTTGCGCTTACTCGAGCCTGGCCCAAGTAACCGATTCGCCGAGCTGGTTAGTTGGGTAAGTATCCCATAAGGCCATGCAATAAACATGGCTGCCAACGTGACGTCCGGTGGGCGCCTCAGGCCGTGTGCTTCCAGAGCTACAGCTACGTCTATTGTCAGCCCGTCCCCGCGTATTTTCAATGGGTGCGGACCTAGACCTAGCTCTAGACAGTTGATTCGGATGCAGCCTCAGTGTCATGTCAAAGTTCAACTCAGCTCTTGCATGAAACTTTACCCGAAACCGTCCGTTTTTTTAGCTCCACTGCGCATGTCTGTCATCATGCAAGGAGCCAGGCGCGAGTAAGCTGGGGGAAGTAATCGAACACACTCAAAGTGAGATATTGAGGACAGTGTTGGTTCACCCACTGTTCTTTCAAATTGGAGGGTGCTCGTGCATTTTGGGTGTGGCATTCTATAGACTAAGTTTTAAAATTGAATTGATCATTTTTTAGCATTTCCAAAGTTGTGAGCTTTTGAAACCGCTTTTTTTAAAAAGAGATTCATTGCCTGTTAATACTAAGAAATACAATATTCGTTCAAGGACATCACATTCTTAGAAAATTTGTTCGGACATTTTTTTTTCAAAAACAATTCAAAATCATGGGGATATTGCCCTTCAACAATATAATTTTGTAAGCACTGTATACTTGGTGCTGTCTGAGAGCTTGATAGAGAAATTCACAAGTTTACTGGGGTGGGACTCGAACCCATGACCTTCTGCTTACTAGTGCTGATATCTCTCAGATAGCACTGAGTATATAATGCTTTTAAATCTTTTCAGTGAAGGGCAAAACCGATTATTTAAATTCCTCAACTCCTTATGCAAAGTTGTTAACTTAGTTATCAAGGAAACTTTGCTACTAATTTTGCAATCAGCTCTGTGAAATAAGATCCTGGACTAAATTCAAGTGTTGTTTTTCTCTTCCTTTGACTTGGCCCAGAGTGCAGCGTTGCTAGAGTGGGTGCAGAGTCATTCCACTAAACTAACACAGCGTGACTTTGAGAGAGCATTGCATGTGTGGTCAGGAGCAGAGATAGTCAAAGTCCTGTCTGAGTTGGGTATCACCAAGGATACACTGGCATCATTTCAGGTAAAATGACCAGCACCAACAAAACATAAGGTTCCTATACTAGCCTAAGGGGCCATCCAAAGTTTTGGACCTTCTCAGGGTCTTGTAATGCGTATAACCAGATAGGGGAGTTTTATTGATCTACAAGGGAATAAGTACAATGTGATACAGTGTAGTACAGATGCTAATGGGAAAATAGTCGATGACATTTTGTGAACTTAAGCTTAAAAATGAGGCCCAAGACAAGTTTGTGATTCATATTGCAGATCAGAGTGGCAAAGAATACCTAAGCCCCTCAGTATACTTGGACAGTTTTCCATCTAAGATAATCTGAAATTTAGTTTTTATCATGAGAACAAAAAGTTGTAAAGATGTTTTGTGTAATGAAACCAAAACCAGCTCTACTTTTGGAGCATTAACCATTTCTTGCATTCCCCTTTAAAGCATCACCTGGCAGCCATTGTGGAAGAAGCCGAGCCTATAAAGAAGGAACAAGAGAACGGTGTGATCCTCAGCTCTATTGCTAGCATGACATTAAAGGGGCTCTTCCTGATATTTGGGTTTCTCTTCAAGGATGAGATGAAGTACATGAAAGACTTCAAGTGAGTATGGATCGATTGTCTGAACACTGCCCCAATCTTGTACATTGCCCTTATCACCTCGATTGCCCCGTCAATTAAATTGAAATATTCACAAATATAACAAGGCACGGTGTTACTCATCTACAGATACATGTATAATCTGGAAGGAAGTGTTGAAGGTACAAAGGATCATTTGCATGTTGTGTATTATTTTATTTGAAGCATTATAATTGCCCAAAATCGTAAGTAGGTTGCATAACAGTTAACCTGTTAAAATATCAGCTCAGTGGATTCTATACATCTTGAGTATTTAGCAGAGATGCCACTTTTCCGGTTTTAGCCGGAATTCCGTTTGTTTTTTTTAATCCGTTCTTATTTCCGGCTTAAAAAAATACTGGAAAAAGAGAAGGAAAACTGTAGAAATGCATTGATTTTTACCTCGTTAGCGCTGTCGAGTTTAGTACAGGTAGGCCTTGCGCACGCACGGCACAACGTTGTTCGTTGAAGTAGTCTTAAAAACAAGTCTTTGTTGTTGCCGAGCCTGCATGCGATACAGGCGGCCAACGTACTTGCACGCAGTATACAATGGCGCCTCGCGTGCATGCACCGCATGCGGGCGTGTTGTGTACTAAGCTTTGGCCCAACCCTAACCTTCCCAACTCCATCAAAATCCATCCCCCCATTTTGGGGATTTTTGTAGACAAGCCATGAGTACCAAGTTCATCAACTTCCCCCCTATATATAGTAGTGATGGTCTTGTGGTGGATTTCAGTGGATCTGGTCCTGAAGCATTATGTCAAGCAGGGTCAGTGATGGATTTTGGCGGACTTGGTCAGGTCCAGTACTTAGTAAAAGACACTAGGGAGTTAGGGTTAAACAGTTTACATGTATGTTAACACTTTAAAACATTCACATTGCATTTTCACAAAACACATTCACTTAATTTTTTCAAAGTTGGCATCACGGACCCAAACGCCCAATGTTGTAAACAAATGTCAAATGGCTATAGGGGATGACAGAAAAAGAGCAATGAAAACATTGTAAAAGTGGGAAGATTTAATGCATTGGCAAAAAGGTCAGGCTATTGGTTTTGAACATGTTGAAGGTATGAAAAAGCCTACAGAAGCAGTCATACAGTGACTCTGGTCTTGGTTAAAGAAACAGTCATGTCCATGAAATCATTCGTAAAGTAGGAGAGAATTTTGCTAACCTTTTAGTAAGCCTTAAAGATTTTTAAAAAAAAATTCTGTTTTGATAAAAAAAATTAAAGAAAATGACATTTTGTTTTCCTCACAGGGTGGCCATTGTGAGGACTGCAGCAAAAAGTAACCGATTCCACAAGACAGTAAGTGGAATATGTAGAATAATGAATAATGCTATACCCAAGTCTTGGCTATACATGTATCAAACTGTGATCAAAGTTGTGTAAACTTATATATTGAGCATTGGCACGCAAGAAATCACTGGAACAAATGACCCCTACACCATACTGTGCAGAATCATTGTGATTATTATACATGTAGCTTATTATGTGTGACTGTAGGATGCTTATGAGCACGAGCTATAGAAGATGCTGGACAAGTCTTTAACACTTTGTACTTAATAAGAACTGACATCAATAGTGAATACCTTGTACATTTGTACCATTTCTTAAATACTTGTTCATATCGCTTTAAAAAATCACATATTTCATTTGTCTTCATTTTTCTCAGGATAATCGCTGGATAAGCAAAAGAAGATGTAAGTGCACCCCTCTCTTCATGATTTAGAGTTTAAACAAATTAAAATGTGACTCGGAACAGAGAGTTGTTGACTAGTACAGTGCTGTTCAAACACTTCTGTCAGTTGTCAGTGTTGTTCTTGGAATGGTAGGAATATTTTTTGTTGATATTTTTGCTTTTTATCTATATGTGAATGGCCGATAAGGCATACCTTAGTGAAATTTACAATTCTCATAGTTTGAAGTTTTTAAACATGTTTTACAGGTACATTGCTGTAGTTGTTTGATTTTGGGATAAAACTAGTAGTGTGAGTAAATGAATGAATTTGTTTAATCGCTTTTTGTTTTTCATCCTTCAGCTTCAGACCAGTCTCAGACACTGACTCTGAATTTCTGGTGTCTTAACCCTGCAGTTGTAAGTAGATTTTGCCATTTTTGTATATATGTAAGGATACAATACTTAATTTTATTTTCTCCAAAACTGTAGGCAGCTCAATAATATCATTAACATTACTTGACGAGAACAGTTAGTTTAGATGATTGTATTGCCAAATAGTTTTGCTATTTTTCCTCCTTTAAACATCTTGGCACACCAGTTTAACGTTAGATACGGCATTCACTTAACATTAGTTACGGTTTCCATTTATTATTGAATAAATCTACTTTCCTCAAGCTATTTTCCACAATTTGATTTTAATAAGAAATGGATACCTTGACAAGACTACAAGAAGCCCACAATTGCCTTGTTTGATACTTGCAGAAGAATGCACAAGTGGAAAGTGGACACCATGTAACTTACGTTAACTGTCCAAAATACCATTATAATCTGCCTTGCAGTGAAAAATATTTGGCTTTATATCTTTTCAATGTTTTGTTTTTGCACCCAAGGGATGTTTCTTCCAACAGTTTTAAGAGAAAACTAACAGCATGCAGCTTTCATCTTTGCTTCAGATCTGTCATGTTTCACTTTTTGTAGCCAGTATTGTGGCCTTACACATGTTTAATTGATAAATTTAAACAATCGTGCATAAAAGATAAATTAAAAATATATCATGGTGGTCGAGGAATATTCCTCCCAAGAGTGCAACTGATAATTGCAATCAAAGAAGAAAGTGAATAAGAATGTGATCAAAAGAGAATTTGAAAAGGAACAAAAAAAGAGCAATTTTAAATAACCAAAGGGAAATGTAACATTTTAACATTAAGTACCTACTATTAGTTTACTTGAAGACATTACTTTGCCAAATTGTTTCTACAATTGTCATCAACCCTTATTTCATGACCGATTTTGTCACGATACAAGAATGAATCCTGTAAGCCCAACACTATATGCCCTAAACCAGTGCAGGCACTTCTTATTGTGGTTTGGGGGACCACACATCAGTCGTATGGTAAGATCTGTTGGGACAATCAAAAGTCCAAATGCTTCTTGTAATAGCCAACTCTCCCATAATACCATACATCCCCTGCCAGGGCCTAAAGTCCCACACGGACATCAACCTTCATGTCAAGTAATCCACCCAAATAATCCACCCAAATAATCCACCCAAAAATCGAAGAAGGCAATGTATTTTGGATTGTCAAAATTCAAGTTATTTCCACCTGGAAAATATGTAAGATGAGTGGCTTCATTTTACAATCTTTGCACAAAGCAAAGTGATAATTGTCCTAATAGTTTGATTTGCCATTATTCATTTCTAGGCGTTCACTGATTTTGGTGAGGAAGTGCGTTCCATTATCCTGACTTCAGGCACCTTATCACCCATGTCTTCATTCCAGTCTGAGCTGGGGGTGGCGTTCCCTATCCAACTTGAAGCTAACCATGTTGTACATACATCACAGGTAAGTTGTAATGTGTCAAAATTTGGGATACGTTCCACAAGTCATTTGAAATAAAACATGATGCAATGAACTCATGGTAAGTTCTTGACGACAGCAATGTCTAGTTCGGACATGTCTTTGTGTTTGTACCCTAACATGAGAAAAGTCTTATCAATCCAGTTTTATGACACAACATGAGAGACACAAGACCAAAATCAACAGATGGTGTGTCCATTGAAATTTTGCACAAACGCTACTCAACAATTTGATTATGTCTTAAACAAATTTGTACTCTATTCCTGTCATTTGAGCATTTAACATTTGTTTAAATTTGGATGACTTAATTTCAGGTTTGGGTGGGAACAGTTGCCATAGGAACCAATGGAGGCTCACTGAATGGCAGCTACAAAAACGCAGAGGTAATCAACTTTAAGTGTATAATTTTATTGGCTTTTAATAATGATAATAATGTGGTGCTTAAGCGCTTTATACCAAAGGTCTCAAACCACTTCACAGTTATTACCCCTGTTCATCAGGCCATGAGACCAGTTTCTGCAGCAGCTCGAGATCAGCGCATTCTGGTCTCTACCTTCACTGGTACCCATTTATACTCCTGGGTGGAGAGAGGCAATTGTAGTAACGTGTCTTGCCCAAGAACACAAGCACCATGTTCCCTGTCAGGGTTCAAATCCACGTACCATGGCACGTGAGTCGAACACCGTAACCATTGGACCAGCTTTCCACTTATACGGAAGTGTAGGAAAAGCTTCCTTTGATAGCGCATTGTTTGCGCTGCTACCATACTTTGAGGAGTACATTGCTCAACAGGGATGCGCATGAGTAGACCTCTTGTGCATTCATTGTTAATGAATTAACATAACAAAACACATCTCAAAGATGCCTGCTGAATGCAATTGATCTGTAGACCAATCCAAATTGCCCACATTTTGTGATTACTGGGCACGTATTTATTAATTTTTTTGCAGCATATATCATATTTTAACCAATCACATCACACACCCCCAAACATGAATATTTATCACTCTGTGTGGATGGAAGACACGTATGTTCTCGTAGTGTTTTCCCTTCAATTAAACCTTTCCCAACCAACAAAAAGATTTGACGAAAATGGACACGAGTTCGAACCACAGATCTTGCAATCCATAGTTCATTCCACTATCCACTAGGCCATTGTGGCAGCACGACCAAAGACATTCTTTGCAATGCTTTAAACACCCCAAACCTGCTAAATGCCACAAAATGCACCAGTAGTAAAAAGTTGTTGCAAGTTGTTGCATTTAGCAGTGTCCTGATCTGCATGCATTCCATGCCTGCATTCCGTTGCATTTGGCAGGGCAGGTACTTGGTACCAAGGCTGGCACTGCATTCTGTTGCATTTGGCAGGGTGCCCAGAGAATACCCCATGGGGGTTAGGGTTGTTAATGTACATGCATGACTTAGTAATAGCAGTGGGTGTGATGTCATTGTTATTTTTTTATGAATGAATAAACATCGAATTAGCTAAGTAATCATGATCCATCGACGATGTTTGCGGCGATAAAAACACCGCCTGGGCTGGTTGTCCAGCATAACTAGGAGGCTCCAAAGCTCACTTTCGTATTTCTCACAATGCACTCCCCTTTAGTGACGTGTTCAGTGCACGTGTGATGGGCATTCAGGCATGGAAGCATCCCAGTGATGGCTGCCAGAACCGTCACCTTAACTTAAAAATCGGATTGGTGTATGTAGGATCAGTACATGAGCTACCCCCTCAATTGGTACAGAGACAGAGTTGTTGGGGAGACCTATAGTGGGTTTATAATTGCATAAAAAAGAAAGCATTTCAATCGAGATGTACGTTTGGGGAAAGGTTTTGTAAAGCTTTTTACCAATTTTGTAAACTGCAAATATCACAAACCATAGAAAACTATTTCTTCAGAAACTGATTCTTTTTCTCCTTTAAAAAAAATCATAGAACACTTTGTTAGAGTTTTGTTCTTGTGTTGATCTAGGTCTGGACATGATGTGAAACCAATTTTGTTTTTGTAATGGTGGTACAATGTCAACTTAATTTAGAAAACTTGAGTCCCTCAATATCAGCATAACCAAAATTGTTTTTGATGAAGATGACTAATTTGTTTGTTTTTTGTTTTGTTGAATCTTGAAGACGTACAGTTTCCAGGATGAGATAGGCTTACTGCTCCTGCAGGTTTGTCAAGTGGTACCCTATGGTGTCTTGTGTTTCCTACCGTCCTATGGAATGATGAGCAAGCTGTCACAGAGATGGAAGGTAGGCTCAGTCAGATTAGTCATCATTTCAATGAACTTATTGACAAAAAAATCATAAGGAACAGGGAGTTGTAAAACACATGCAGAATATCATTTCAATTCTTGCCACAATTGAGCCCAATTTCACAGTGCCGTAAGAGCATGTAATCTTCTTAACATTTTCTGACATAATTTCCCATCTATTTTCACGGAGACTATAATAATAATTCACGAGGTAGCCATTATTCACGAGTTGGCCATTTTTGTCGTGTTCCCTGAATGTATTTTATTAATTGTTAACTGTTGAATGGGATTGCGCCAGACAATTTATGCAGCCTTATTTTACTTTCAATTTTTTTTTTAATCTGGCTTAAAACATTAGGGAATGTTTAATTACAAAGTTTAAATTATTCATTTAAGCAGACTTGAATTATTTAGTAATGTTCTTGCTTTCGTTTCTCTTCGCAAGTTCCAAAAATAAAGATTTTACCTCACTTTCAATTCAACATGGCCAACTCGTGAATAAGGCCCCTAAACAGCTCTTATATAGCGCATTAAACGAAAATGTCTGTATGCGTTTCTGGTAACCAACAAGTGTGTCTTAAGCTTTGATTGAAGTGTTCCAAGGATGGGTTGATGAACTGCACATGAAGTTAAATGATGTTCTGAGCCGGAGTGAAGATTTGTTTGGTGGACGGTATTCAGTTATTAATTCCTGGAGATAATCCTAGGGGAGAACTAAAAGCTTGAAAAGGATTCAAGATTTATCTGGTAACCAATATTATTTATGTAAGACTGGGGCAATTGGTTCGTACTTCCACGTTCAACGATTAAACAGAGACAGATGGGGGAGACCACTGGGAGGGACATTTGAATGCATTGCTGATGACGACTGACGCTGACGCTATGGCTTTGTGCACATTCAGAGTAAATTTAGTCGCCCGTATTTTGAGCTTTACGTGGGCAAAACATTATGCACACACAGTGTGTCCCGTCCACTGGGCTCCAGAAAGTGGTCAAATAGTGTCATCTTCTCATAGAGTCTGTAAGCAATGAATAAGCATGTTTTTAGAAGCAACGTAAGGCAAGTTCGCACAAGAACTATTGTTAACCATAGTTCGACTATGTTAGCCCGAACTCTGTCTAGTCGACAATGGTTGCACTATGCTAGTCGACTATTATTAACCAGACGACAGGGCATGGTTCCATTGCTGGTTACCAATAGCCGCATGCATCATAAAGTGCAACGGGGAGCCAGGACGAAGACATTTGTGATGACATTTTGACCATCGTTTGACTAGAGGCGTTCCCATGTTGCTTTTAGTGCGCAGGCATAAGTTACGTCACAAATCAACCACTAGTCGACTAATGGTCCTTGCCTGAACTTGGCCATTGCTGCAGATAGTGTCATAACAGAAGCTTCCATATGTGTATTCACGGTATTACTGTCAAAATTGGAAATACAAATCATTGTGTCCGAATCATTGAACCGAATCTGAATTACTTGCGGGTTGGCGTGCAGCACTAATGTCACTAGTCATGAGCAAATCTGCTGAAAGTTTGTGTGCTGTGCTCACTTAAATTGATGATGGTTTCTTCAGCAGTGATCATTTAACACAGTGAATTGGGCCTACTTCCTAGAGACACAATCTGTTTGATTTCAGAACACGGGCCTGTGGGATCAACTTGAGAAGGTCAAAGTGGTGATGTCTGAGGCACGGGGAGCAGATAAGGTCAACTTTGATGAGCATCTGAGAGAGTTCTATGAAGTCATCAAGGACAGTGAGAATACAGGTCAGTGTCTTCATTTCAAATCTGCAAAGCAAATTTTACTATTGCAATCCATGTACATGTAACACTGAAAAGTACGTAGGATAAAATGTTTAGACTACAAAAGTAAATTGTGGAAATGCTGATTATAAAATAATGGGAGCTTGTTCAGAGTATCAGTAGCTTATCTGTTTGAGAGATGTTTCTGTTATTATTCCGGTTGATGGCTTCTGTGCATTAGATATTGAGAACCAATCAGTGACAGGGGCTGTGTTTTTGGCCGTCTGCCGGGGTAAAGTCAGCGAAGGGATGGACTTTGCTGATAACAATGCAAGAGCTGTCATGACTGTGAGTATAAAGACTTCCAGTTTGCAAGAGCTCCTGGGGGTAATGCACGCCGTGCACGAACAGTAGATGACGCTTTAAGACGAGATAAGTTTGCGGTAGCACCATGTGAATAAATCTCTTTTGTGAGTATGTGTGGTTCTGAAAAGAACCGGAGGGACTCAACGTTTCGAACAGTATGCTCTTCCCTCAAGTCCCATCCTCAAGTCCAAGTCCTATGGGTCACCTATTCCCTGAGCTCCTTCCCCTTTGCCCCTTCACTGTGTACTGACACGCTCCAGTGATCATCCAGCATCCCTCAGTCAACTTGCATCCTTCTTAGCTTCACCGGTTTCGAGCTTCACCAGTTTGCATCCTTCTCACGCCTCACCGCACCCATCCTTATAACATCGCATCATCATTGGAATCCCTCATTCTCCTGACGACGGGCAGAGCATACTGTTCGAAATGTTGAGTCCCTCCGGCTCTTTTCAGAACCACACATACTCACGAAAGAGATTTATTCACATGGTGCTACCGCAAACTTATCTTGTCTTAATATCTTTCCACCATGCAAACCTTCAAATCTCAGATGCCGCTTTGTAACCATACTGGTTTGCATGACTACTTTAACACTGAATTTGTTCACAAAACCATAGCATCTTCACGTGAGCTGTTGGAAATCTGTTCAAAGTTTCCCCCAGTGGTCTCCCCTAACTCTCCCTTTGTAACTGTCCAGGGGAACCTGTGCACGGGGCCCATCGGGTTTGGAGTTGGCATCTAATGCTACTCTATCTTGTGGTAATCTTTACAGAGAACATAAATGAATAAAAAATAAATAATAAATTGTAATGCTTATATAGCGCTTTCCATCATATCAACAATCTCATAGCGCTTTACAGTTATTCCCCCGTTCGTCAGGCCATGGGACCACGCGGCAGCCGATATCAGCGTACATTTGGCCCTCAACCCTCGCAGGTACCCATTTATACTCCTGGGTGGAGAGAGGCAATTGTAGTTAACTGTCTTGCCCAAGGACCACGTTCCTGGCAGGGTTCGAACCCACGCACCATCGTACACGAGTCAAACACCATAACCACTGGACCACGGCATTCTATAAAACATAACCTAATTGAGTCCGTATTGTATGTGTATGTGTGTGCATAAATGCAGGCACATGTTGTTAGTCTTTACATTTGGCACATTGTATCTAACATTGAAACTAGGCTTGAATCAATGTTGTTCAGTTATGTTTTACTGTTTTGATTTTTAAAAAAAATCTCTTTGACTATGATTGCTAGATTGGCATCCCATTTCCAAGCATCAAAGATACACAAGTGGAACTGAAGCGTCAGTATAATGACCAGTATTCATCATCTCGAGGTCTACTTACTGGCAGCGAATGGTACGAGATACAGGCCTACAGGGCTATCAACCAGGCACTGGGCCGATGCATCAGACACAAGTAAGGCTCTCTCAGTCATGTCTGTCTGTTAGTCAGTTGGTCTGTTTGCTGGTGGGTTGTATGAGATACAGGCCTACAGGGCTATCAACCAGGCACTGGGCCGATGCGTCAGACACAAGTAAGGCTCTCTCAGTCATGTCTGTCTGTTAGTCAGTTGGTCTGTTTGCTGGTGGGTTGTATGAGATACAGGCCTACAGGGCTATCAACCAGGCCCTGGGCCGATGCATCAGACACAAGTAAGGATCTCTCAGTCATGTCTGTTTGTTAGTCAGTTGGTCTGTTTGCTGGTGGGTTGTATGAGATACAGGCCTACAGGGCTATCATCCAAGCACTGGGCCGATGCATCAGACACAAGTAAGGCTCCCTCAGTCATGTCTGTCTGTTAGTCAGTTGGTCTGTTTGCTGGTGGGTTAATGAGATACAGGCCTACAGGGCTATCAACCAGGCACTGGGCCGATGCATCAGACACAAGTAAGGATCTCTCAGTCATGTCTGTCTGTTAGTCAGTTGGTCTGTTTGCTGGTGGGTTGTATGAGATACAGGCCTACAGGGCTATCAACCAGGCACTGGGCCGATGCATCAGACACAAGTAAGGCTCCCTCAGTCATGTCTGTCTGTTAGTCAGTTGGTCTGTTTGCTGGTGGGTTGTATGAGATACAGGCCTACAGGGCTGTCAACCAGGCACTGGGCCGATGCATCAGACACAAGTAAGGCTCTCTCAGTCATATCTGTCTGTTAGTCAGTTGGTCTGTTTGCTGGTGGGTTGTATGAGATACAGGCCTACAGGGCTATCAACCAGGCACTGGGCCGATGCATCAGACACAAGTAAGGCTCTCTCAGTCATATCTGTCTGTTAGTCAGTTGGTCTGTTTGCTGGTGGGTTGTATGAGATACAGGCCTACAGGGCTATCAACCAGGCACTGGGCCAATGCATCAGACACAAGTAAGGCTCTCTCAGTCATGTCTGTCTGTTAGTCAGTTGGTCTGTTTGCTGGTGGGTTGTATGAGATACAGGCCTACAGGGCTATCAACCAGGCACTGGGCCGATGCATCAGACACAAGTAAGGATCTCTCAGTCATGTCTGTCTGTTAGTCAGTTGGTCTGTTTGCTGGTGGGTTGTATGAGATACAGGCCTACAGGGCTATCAACCAGGCACTGGGCCGATGCATCAGACACAAGTAAGGATCTCTCAGTCATGTCTGTCTGTTAGTCAGTTGGTCTGTTTGCTGGTGGGTTGTATGAGATACAGGCCTACAGGGCTGTCATCCAGGCACTGGGCTGATGCATCAGACACAAGTAAGGATCTCTCAGTCATGTCTGTCTGTTAGTCAGTTGGTCTGTTTGCTGGTGGGTTGTATGAGATACAGGCCTACAGGGCTATCAACCAGGCACTGTGATGATGCATCAGACATGGTGGTCATTGATTGATTGATTGACAACACAAAGACTTGTCATAACTCAAGATATGTTCTTGTTCTTTTGTCCAGGAGAGATTGGGGTGCCCTTATCTTGGTGGATGATCGGTTTGGTAGAAATCCTAAGAAGTACATCACAGGTAAGCTGAATTGGAATCCTAATTTGAAAGGCACATGACTAAACTGATCAAAATGATGTAACTTACGCATGCCCACTAGTAGCAAAGTACACATTTCTCTAGGCAAACGCTGGTCAAAACGTCAACGCGAAACTTCTTGGACTTGGCTCCCTGCTGTGTGATGCAACCGTGCCCTGCCGTCTGGTTCCAAATAGTCCACTAGAAGAGTCCAACCATGCTGCGTTGGAGTGAAGCTAGTCCAACTATGGTTAGCTATATTCCTCACCCAAACTTGCTACAAATGTGCTCCATCAATAACAGTTTTACTTCTGTGTGTTTTAAATAATTTGGGGTACGTGGTACATGTATAAACACTTGCCTGAATTATAGGACCTTATAATATATCTGTTTAGAAAATGCACATTATGGTTTCACAATTTTCTTATAAAATAAATTTAAAAGGGCATGTCAATGCACCTATTTCAAAATATCCTAGCACCAGAAAATGTAAAAACCCAGGATTGCATGGTAGTTATGGTATATAAATATTGAGTGGCTCAGAGTGAAATGGGAGGAATATTATTGCAAGGTAAAATCTGGACTTGCCGAGTGGAATGGAAAAGTCCAGATTTTACCAAGTGATAATATTCTTCCCATTTCACAATTTAAAGCCACTCAATATTTGCTTTATATACCTGACATGTATCCTTGTCATTTGATTTACAGTTAAAATGAACTTCTGTTTCAATACAAAATTGGTGGGAAGTGTATTTCTCTCTTCCAAACCACCCCTTCACGGAATGTTTGAACCCAACTCTGTAGCTACTAGCTCTTGGGGACAATACGCGCAACGCTTAATGCACACACCAGCATGCATTTGCACAAAAATACCGCGCCATGGAACAAGAATGATCCCGACTGTTGAATAGTATTTCCCATTCCCCATGGGCGAATGGGACTTTTTGAGTCCTGGCGTGTATGGTGGCAATAATGAATGTCACGTGATGTGAGTTCCACCAATCAAATGACAAGGATCTGTATGTCAGTAATATGATAACAACTATCCTATGGAACTGTTCTGGCTTGATTTACAATCCTATGTTGATTTGTTCAGGTCTTTCCAAGTGGGTGAGAGGCAAAGTGGTACATCACACTCACGCTAGGAATGCCCTGGCTTCACTGGACGAGTTTGCTAAGGCCAGGCAACTCAGTCCATGTCCCCAGTTGCCAAGGTAACTATTGTCAAGTTGTATCAAAAGCCAAGGAATTGTCCAGAACCTAAGATTGGACTGGACTTATTTGTTAGTTTGATTTTAACTGGAGAGAGCTTGTGTAGTTGTTCCATAGAAAGCATTACTTATACAGAGCTTAAATTTGTGTTCCAGTTGGGGTAAATCCTTTTTTTCAAATCAACATTGTTTTATTAAGGCCAAAAAAAAAATAAGTCGGTCTCTGGTCAGCGCGCGCGTCGATTTTAAGCATGCGCATCGATCTTTTTTTTTTCCAAAATGTTCCGCGGTAGCTCCAACAGCGCCCTCTATTTCCGCACCTCCTCAATTTTTTTTACCAAAGAGCACCAAGGAATGGGAAATTGCACCAAGGCAAATTATGGAGGACACCAATGTACATGAGGACACCAAAAAAGCAAAATAGTACCCCACCTTGTCTGTACAATCCAAGCTTGAAGAAAAAAAAAAAAAAAAAAAAAGAAAGAAAAAAAAAGCCGCGTGGCCGCGTCAATTCCGGAACTTTGGTCTGACCAGAGACCGAATATTTTTTTGGGGGGGCCTAACCTGTTTAGGAAAAAAAATCATAATTGAACTAGTACCAGTTAACAAAGCTTTCCACAATTGCATCCCAGAATTTTTTTTTTACAGAGTATGGGCTGGGCTATGCTATGTGAATGTGACTTTGTGACATTACGACAAAATTACCGCAAAATACATTACAGCTCCGGTGAATTTCACCACATGTTTCAGGATGTCAGTGTTGCATGTAACCTTCCCACTTGCATGAAGTATGCACCAACCTCATGACGACCAGTTTCTTTGTGGAGTATTTTTTGCTTTAAATGTTGATTATTTTGTTGGCTTCAGACCGTTCGTGAGTACCAGAATGTTTAAAATTGAACAACCAACAAATGATCTAAAATGTTTTGTTTTGACACAGAACTGCCATGGTCTTTTCTTGTTGCAGTTTGTCCATGTGTGCTTCTCCATCACTCAATGAGTCCCTCAATGCCACATTCACTCCTACCAAAGACCCCCCTGCTACACCCATGACCCCAGCTCCATCCACCCCTATGTCTACCCAGACCTTCAACCACAATGAAAGTGGGATGGCCAACGTGCTGAAAGCCATGGCGCTGCACTCCCAGCAGAGCCAGGCCCTGGCCACGCCCAATCTGACCACACCCACCCCAATGAGGTTCTTCAGCTCTGCAGCCACGCCCAGCACACCATTTGCCTTTGGTAGCAGTGCCACGGTTACAAAACCATTGAATACAGCGCAAACGATGGATACCAATCAGAGACTGGTGCTCGGTCCTCAGTACTGGATTGGTCCCAATAACGAGATGGTTCCCCTACAACCTCACCCAGTTGTCCCTTCAACTCCTGTACCGGGTCGGTTGCTTGAGGAAGTCGATAAGTCTGGCAAGAAAATCATCAAACTTGTCCTTGGAAATCAAGGAAGTATCATTCCAGTGCAAAACCAAATACCATTGAGCAACCATGGGCAGAATATCCCCCCTCTTAGTACTGTGGTATCTTCCTCAACGAGTGCTGCATCTATACCTTCAGTTGAGACTACTTCAGTTGCTAAGGGAGAAACTCCAACTAAAAGTAACTCGACCGTACGTCTTCAAAGTGATGCCTCATTGAAGGAAGGCATCGGAAAACTGGAGGTTGACAACAAGTCAAGTCAAGAAAATTCTACTGCATTGAGTTTGAAGCCTGGAAACACACCCTGGAAAAGAACAGGCAGCTCTCTTTCCCCTGAGACTGTGAATCAGCAAGAATTTAATGATGTCAAGACTCCAAGAGGAAAGTTGGACTTTGAAGAAGTGGTGAACGGTTTGCCTGGCCAAGGGAACACAGACAACGGCAAACTGGATCCTTCTGAGGTTGTCAATCCAAGGAAGGAAGCATCGCAAAAAGATTCTGATCATCAAATGGAGGCCTATCGCACAGAGTACGACAATACCCCCTTGCTCTTTGATTCAGATGACGAAGGTGTTGAAGACAGGTCACCCTGCCCAAAGGTCACCAACAGAGGGCCCCCAAACACCAACTGTATGTCATCAAAGAGAGAAGTAAAGGAGGATAATTTGAAAGAGAATAATGAGGATGTCAGTGGAATTCAACAGCTTAGACATGTTAGACAAGCCACTCCAGTCAAGAACCTGAAATCCTCAGACACCAACTTGAAAACGCCAAATTCCAAGAATTTGGCCAATCAGAATCATGCTTCAGCAAAGAAGGCAAAAGCTACAAATCTGGGCTCTGAGGAGGGGGGTCATCAGGGGAGGCAGACCAGATCGCGGGACAAGATGTTGCTGAGACGGTCGTCCAGGAGTAGAAGGAGAAGTGAAGATGTCAAGGATGATGTAGGCCAGGGTGATTTCCTAGACGACATAGCTCATAATGGGAATAACCAGGTGAGGAAGGGAATTACTCTTTGGTTTATTCATAAAAGGTTCTGAAAAAAAAGGACATGAAAAGACAATAATTTAAAATTATGACCGACCCGTATAATAATAATAATAATAATTTGGGGGGGCTAATCATCCTTACTCGCAGCTGAGAAGCTGAACTGTGAAGGATGCAGTTAGAACAAGGTCGAGCTGAAGGCATGTAAAAGGCGCCTTAGGCTGCCACCATACAACCCATGTCTGACCACGGAGCACAGCCAGATATCAAAGGTGTTGATTTTTACAGAGGGAGGCAAACCGGAGAGTCCGGGGGAAAACCCTCGTGGCACAGGAGAGAATCAATGAACAACTCTGCTCACATATGGTCCGAGCCAGGAATCAAACCCGGGCCACAGTAATGAGAGGCAAGCGCTTGACACATTAGCCACCCATGCCACCATGCCAACGTATAAACAACATTATAGACTTATTATTATTCACCACAAATTATTTGAAGGTTTAACAAGTCGACTTGTATTCTAAATTGTTACTCGATAAAAAAAAATAGACAAAACATGTCATAAGCCAGACAAATGTTACTTAAAAGTTCTGGACACAGAATTCGCAAACAAAACAGTTTGTGAAGCACAACATTTTAATGTTATCTTTTGATTTAATGTTTGATCTGTGGACGTACATCATTTGAAGCAATTTTAAAACTTCATAAATTAGAATATGAAAAAATACTAGCCTCCTAGCAGTGTGTTCACAAGAGGGCTCACTGCTGTCACACCATTGTCCCATCACACACAAGCAGTGACCTTCCGTAGGTCATACAATAATTAGCCCAGTTCCCGCCGATGTTTGCTTGATTGCTCATGTGTGACTCTGGAAGTTTTCCCGTCATAAAAAGGTGTTTTTTTGTCTGTTTTTTTTTCTCATCAAACCACACTACACGATGTGTTCGTCGGTGTGCCGTAGTGTGTGACGTGTTATTGTGTATTTAGTCTTTGCTAATTTAATGACGACAATTATTACGCACAAAAAGCCTGTGCGGCATATTCAGTATGGTTTTCTCTGTTGGTCTGTGTGTCGGTTCTTTGAGCATTTCTGTCTTGCCGGGGGGGGGGGGGGGGGGGGGGGTTGCTGTTTAGGGTGATATCAGGTAAAGGAGAAATCCATTGTGTCATTGGGCATGTCTATTGTGTCAATTTGTCATAGCACAATAGTCCAGATTGATGGCTCTTGGATGATTATTCTACAATTATCCAGCATAAGTTGTTCTCAACTTTGCAGCTCAGAATGTGAAATACCATCTGAAGTGCTAGAATTGGTTCTGTATATCATCTCATTTAGTCTAGCAACTTTAAGAGTTGGTTTCCTGAGTGTAAAAGCTTCGCATGACTTTTTGCTCAGCACGTAGCTCTTGTGTGCGGCAGGCTGAAAGCCTAGTAATGAGTAGATAGTGAGGGCCCTTACACATGTACAGTTAGCTGGATTACATTTGCTTAAACATTCAAAGAATCACTGCATAACAGGCAAGTGCCCTGATATCTTGTAGTTCCACTATTTGAGGGAGTATTCTTGTTCTGGGCTTATGAATATTGCAGTTTTCATTGTGCCAATGTTTTCTGGTTTCAGGATACTAAAGTTTGAGTATGAGTGATTGCTATGGGATTGACCAATCAGCTTGTTGATCAACATCTGTTAACAAAAGCTTAAATTTTGTGCTATGAATCCCCAACCAATAAGCGCTTCAAGAATTGTCATAAATTGTTGTCATAAAAATACATGAGCCATGATTCTGCTGCTTGATACACCATATTTGTTTGTCGTTTTTGTTCACAATACTGATCCGTGAGAATTATGAGATAATTTCACAAAGGGGTAGTTGTTTGTTTTGCCCCCATTGTTTAGAATGCAGTTGTATTTCAGTGGGTTGGTTTCCGTGTACGGTTGAGCAAGCAGTCTGGCGCCGGTATGGTTGGGTAGTTTAATGATTGTTTTGTGGGCAAGCTGCCGTGCGTGTAGTGTTTGTCATTAGACCGTGTTGCCAATTCACAGGGTTCTTCTCAACTGCTGTGGCTAGAGGATTATATGAACCTGTCGTAATAGTTGTTTGTTTGTTTGTTTGTTTGTTTCAGAAGTCTGAGTCACGTTTCATGCAATGTTCATGCATTGGTTCCCACACTCTTGCAACTCAATGCATTTGGGACAGTACATTGTCAGTGGGCATTGCAGAAATCAGAGTACTGGTACCGGTAGCTGTAGGGTATAATGTACGGGTATACATTTACTTACACAAATTCTCAGCTTAAAAACTGGTTCATACTTGACACAAAAACAAACATGAAGGTAAATTTCAGACGTAGTTCCACTGGAAATTCATAAAAGTGGAACACATTTCAACTCTGGCGAGTTAAACAACTTTGTTTAAAGATGGTAATGACACTAAACTCCCTGTGAGTATTTCTTCTGGCATGCTGTCATTTTGAAAAAAACAATTGAAGGTCATTTTAAAGATGTGTCAACTTCAAGTGACACATTTTGTCATTGGTTTGTAATTGGCGTTGACACCACGCACACACATGCATGTTTACGTTACATACCTAGCGTGGACATTCCTTTTATTTATTATCATGGGTACTCGCCAACAATTGGCTAAGGTTAATATTGACAGCATCAATGTTGGGGAGTCCAGACTTTCCCCTGTCTCCGTTGTGAAGAGTCTGGGTGCCTGGTTCGATGCAAACTTGACAATGTCTACTCATATCACAAAAACGTGTGGTACGGCTTTTTATTATTTACATAATATTAGACGTATCAGAAAGTATCTGACCAGGGAATGTACTGAAACGTTAATTCACTCTTTTATTTCTAGTCGGTTGGATTATTGTAATAGCCTCCTCTATGGATTGCCTGACGTTCAAATATCACAGCTTCAACGTGTGCAAAATTCCTGCGCCAGACTAGTCTGTAACGCTTACAAATACTGTCATATCACCCCACTGTTTTTTGATTTACATTGGCTTCCGGTGAGATTCAGGATTGAGTTTAAAATTCTGTTAATAACTTATAAAATTCTTTATGGTCTAGCTCCCTTATATTTATGCCATCTAATCCAAAAACGATCTTCATCCAATTACAATCTCAGATCTTCCGATGACAAAACACTCCTCAGTTATTCAGCAAGTCGAACCAAGGTCACCCTTGGTGATCGTGCATTTGAGTGTGCTGCACCTAAGTTATGGAATGCACTGCCATTAAATATCCGAGAAGCAAGTAGCCTGAATGTTTTTAAACAATTACTTAAAACTCATCTTTTTATGAGAGCTTTTTATTGATTTTTTGTACCCTGTATCAGTGTTCATTGTATTGTTGAATTTGCGTATACGTCTGTTTATTTTTAATTTTTGTATGACTGTAATGCGCATTTGAACATATTTTAAATGGAATTTGCGCACTATAAATTAATAAATTATTATTATTTGTTTTCGTGTAGTTAAGAAAACCTGTGAAAAAAACTCATTTTACTCACACAGTGAAAACTCTTTCAACTATTTTTTTCCTATGATTCCCTTGAGTGTTTCTCTTCATTTTGCAACGGACAAACCTAACACAAAAATGCCTCTAAACCTGTTTTCCAGAGAGGGGGAAACCTTGTGTGGACGTGGGTCCACACAAGGTATCTGAAAACTGGTTTATGTGGACCTCTATTGTTCGGAAGTCCACACAGTAAATGTAATGCTTGTACAACTATTATTCATTGAGAATCATATCCCTCATGCTGATTTTGGGGTTGTCACGAGAGGGCACAATTTAAAATATGGCATGGCAACTTTTGAACTTTTGTGTTTTCTAAAAAAATACAGCACTCACAGAGTTAAACCGTTATTGGGTTAGTTGTTAAGCACCCGCCATTAAATTTTGAGCACTTTCGTCGCTTCAAAGGAAAAATTTTTTACACATGACAAATGGTTCATTTTACCTTTAAGTTTGAACTGTTCTGCAAAGTTCTATTGACTACATGTACTTTGACTGGACACACATTAATTTTGGAAAATAATGTTTGTGGGTAAAGTTTAACGGAAGAAGTACAGTCTGGCTTTCAGCAGCAACAGGCTACCAACAAAATAGGACGTGGGTCCACACAAGGTATCTGAAAACTGGTTTATGTGGACCTCTATTGTTCGGAAGTCCACACAGTAAATGTAATGCTTGTACAACTATTATTCATTGAGAATCATATCCCTCATGCTGATTTTGGGGTTGTCACGAGAGGGCACAATTTAAAATATGGCATGGCAACTTTTGAACTTTTGTGTTTTCTAAAAAAATACAGCACTCACAGAGTTAAACCGTTATTGGGTTAGTTGTTAAGCACCCGCCATTAAATTTTGAGCACTTTCGTCGCTTCAAAGGAAAAATTTTTTACACATGACAAATGGTTCATTTTACCTTTAAGTTTGAACTGTTCTGCAAAGTTCTATTGACTACATGTACTTTGACTGGACACACATTAATTTTGGAAAATAATGTTTGTGGGTAAAGTTTAACGGAAGAAGTACAGTCTGGCTTTCAGCAGCAACAGGCTACCAACAAAATAGACTCTCTTGATGCTCAGCACCTCAATGAAATGACCCCAAGAGTTTGCACTTTGTATTTAGTGAATTGTTAATTACTGCAAGACATGCCCCAAAATGGTAACAACTTCTACCTTTCAGAACAACTTGAAGTATTAATGAAAACAGGCCGACCATGTTTAGTTTCTCCCTGTCTAAGACCTTTGAGGTGGCCAGATCAACAAGCTGTAGCAAAAGCTACATTTACTCTTTTTCATTTGTCGGGGTGCCAGTAAAAAAGTACCAGTTTGATATTTCATACTTGAGAGCAATTACTGAAAGTGCCCACACCGTACGTGTTTTTCGGTAACTCACTGATGGACAAACACAAAAGGCGATTTTCAAAGGCTGTTTCCTGTTTTCAGGCCGGCCACACACAGACAGACCTTGGATAAGTGAATTATGAAATTAGTTTGGAGCCCGAGCGCTTTTGTTGTGAGATGCAGTTGAGCGGAACTTTGAGACAGTGCTAGGAACCCATACTTGCTGATATCTAGGGAATACGTTTTGTCTTTTTGGATGATGATGGGTAAATATTATTAGTGGAAGACATTACGTACATAAGTCCCCATAGCTTTTACTGCCTACTGATGTGTTTGTGCTTTTTGTTATAATTTAAAAAAAATTATGATAAAAATTCTTACAATACGAATATAAAACAAAGATATATACATGTATACCGGTACACAAAATTACAAATGCTAAAAGAACATAAAACAAATTAAAAATTACGCACACAGAAAAAGAGGGTTAAAACAGAATACATAAATAAAAACAAGGACATAGGACAATATAAACATGAATATAAACAAACTGGGTTTTCAATATTTTCCTTGTCATTTTCTGTTTTCTTTGGCATTCTGGGGATTTCTTATTACCTGGACGTTTCAAATTTTGTTAGTTTAGTAAATAGTAAAAAGCACTCAATTTTGACAGTTAGGATGACTGTGTAGCTTCAACAGGAAAGCAAGGTATTCAATATGTGTGGCTGCAGCATAATATTCACAAATGCTTGCCCTGTTTACACATTTGAATGCCAAGCAAACTTTACATAGATTTACAATGTAACTGCCATTTGTTTGTATTTTTAAATTGGAACCATATTTTATTACATGGCACAGCTGTGCATTTGCACACTGTTAAAATGAAATTGATAAAATGAAATTGAACAATCAATTTTACACAAATGAATTATTGTACAATTGTTGTGCCATTATTCTTTTCTTCTGCGTGTATTGGGCAATTTGGAATGTTACTTTTTTCAGGTTTGAGTATTGCTTGAGGGGGTTTTGGTGATAGTAACCCAAATCAGACACTATGAGACAAAATGGTTCGTCAATCGTCAATCAAGTAATTGCTGCTGGCTGTTTCAATGATTCGTGCTGATTTGCTAGAATTTTGCAGGCAGTGTTTTCACTGTCATGTAGCAGCATAGCTAAGGGCACCCCTTTGTGCCACCAACTTCCCTTGTGCCAACCCCTTGTGCCATCTCCTCCTCCCCCCTTGTGCCTTCTCCCCCCCCCCCACCTTTCAGAACTATTGTTGTTTAAAACCCTTTGAGTGCCCTCCAGAAAAATGTCCCCTCCCCCAAATGTGTATGGTGCATCCTACCATAATTGGCAAAGTTGTGATGCCTGGATGATGGTGGTTTTCAATTCAATTCAAAACTGTTGTATGATCTGTGATGGATTCTGAAATCTGTGCTTTTTCCATGCAAGATTAAGAAACTTGCTGCATTCCTTTCAACTTCTGAATACACGTGATATGTAAAACAAAGAGGTCTTGCTCTTTGGAAAACTGCCATCAAGTGATTTATACCCAAGAAATCCAACAGAACAGAACTGACCTTAACCATATTGGCAGGCCTTAATCTTGCTCATCAAGTATTGCCTGGGTTTTTACAATTGGGATTTACAAAAAAAAGGTCTCATGGTATCAAATATTGGGGGAGGGGATGGATAATTTGACTGGGCATTTCAAGGTTCAGTGACCACCAATGGGGAAGTTGTGTTTGCAGATCTCCTGGCTCTGACAGACTGATGAGCTTTAGGACGATCAAATGCATGCAAGAGGTGGGTCATCAATTATAGTCCTAACAGATTTTATATTTGTTGATGGTCGGCAAAGCCCTTGAGATATGTAGAGATTGTTGCGGGTAGGTTTGGAAGAGGGGATGGCCTTGATATGTCGAACCTTCAATAAGGGCTGATCAGGGTACCAGCAGGAATAGCCCCGGTAATCACTAGCCTGTGCAATTATGAGGCTTAAGCAAGTTGCCCAACATACTTGCAAATTAGCATTAAGAGCACAAAAAGGGGTACTTGGATATTTGTGAGTAAATTTCAGTGACAATTGCATTAATAATGCCCTGTGGACATGTGAATGTTTAACATATATAACTGGTAATGATGCTACATGTGTTAGTGGTGTGTTTTTGACAGAAATGTCATTTGAAAGCTTACTTCATGTACATCATGACATGACATAAAGTCAGTGTTTCAATCAAGTTGGTAATAAAAGTTCAGATGAAACATATGCTTTAAAAGCTTTATCCTGGGGTAGACATAGAAGAAAGCATGAAGTAAATGTCCACGTCTCTTGACAAGTTTTGAGTCTTTTCCTAAATAGATAAACATTTTCTGCGGATAGAACATTGGTTATTTTCTGCAGGGAAATTACCAAACACATTGAAAAAAATGAGCATCAAAGTTTCATGATTTTTGTTTGTTTTTTCCTTCTTTCTTGGTTTTTTAATTTCAGAAGCAGAACTGTGACGAGGCACTTTGCAGATTTGGCCTCTTCTGTGCAACTTGCAACTGTTGTTTTACAGAAAATCTTGATGGTAGGTAGCACCCTTGGATAGATTTGGGTTATGAAATGTGGGGAATTGAACCATGTAAGTCAGGTAACAAGACCATGTCTTTCAGCTGTGCAGACAGTGCCTGCACAAAGAGGCTAGGGACTTATCCGGTGGCACCAGGCTCACACGAGTCACGCTCGGGTAGTATGCGTGCACTCTGGGCTCCTTCCATCAATAGGAATACCAAAATGTGTGCACCTCGTCTTAAAGAATGCATGAAGTAGGTGCATGAGCGTGGCACCAGACTCATGCGAGTCGCGTTCAGGTAGTACGCACGCACTCCGGGCTCCTTCGACCAATAGGGTTACCAAAATGCACGCATGCCTCGTCTTAAAGAAAGAGTGCAGCATGTGCATGAGCGTGGCACCACCGCAGTAACAGCTTCTAATTCTGGTCACCGCATTGCAATGCATCGAACTATCATCTCTATCTAGTTGAAATCAAATTAGGTCCACAGTAAGAACCAATCAAATTAGGTTTTGCCCTTCACCGACGTATAAACACTGTATACTCAGGTGGGACTCGAACCCACGACCTCCTGCTTTCTAGTGCAGATGTCTTACCACTAGACCACCGAGCTAATGGGATCGGTTGGCCGGTTCGAATCTAATGTACATAACAGCGGGTACCGCATTGACTATTCATCAGATGGAATTTGTGCGTCGGGGTGATGTCAATCAAATTAGGATATCTGTTGATTTTTGATTCTCTACCTGGGTATAGCCTCTCAACCATGGTCAGGCCGACAACCATGGTTGGTTCCCACAATCTCTGGGTTGGATCTTTGCACCTGCAACAAGGAGATTGAAAGGTTTTTATGGGTTTGTGTGCATTCACGTGAAAATGAGACGTGAAAGGTTCACACCTTTAGTGCGCCCAAGCATACTCACACTGGAGGTCATGTTAATGGTGTTCATACAGTGCCACCTATTCCTGCTTGAAGTCAATAAAGATATAGTCTCAGAAAGACTGCTCTTCCTTAACTAAGGTCAAATAGGCCCAAATTGCCTACGCCAGCCAAATCACGATTTGCATGCCCTGAAGTTTTCTGGTATTAGAGCATTTTGTGGGCCATAAGCTTGAGGTTTGTTTAGAAAAAAGGGGTGAAAGCAGTGAACAGGACTGCGAGCTTGTATTGTTGTGAAATTTGGATGAAATTGGGCCGTAAAATAACTCTTTTTGGCAATGGAGCAGACATCCTTTTTCAAAATGCAATGGGCTTCAGGACTACTTTAAGGGGTGATCATCTTTGGATGGAAATTTCTCTCAAAAGTCATTGGATCACCCCCCATAATATTGCACAGGAAGTGAAAGGTGATGAAATAAGCTTTAATTTGGATGTGTGTCTCAAACATCTGGGTGAGTTGTGAGTATTTTCCTGAATTTGGGAAGTGGGCGTATTTTTCACTGGGGTCTATGGCAGTTTGTTTATTAGTCTGCAATCTTAAGGGCACTATTGGCCTGTAATTTCCTTGAGTTTTCATTAGCTGATGACCTGAGATCAACAACGTGCTCATGATACATGTACACAGAATCTTCAGCTATTGATTATGGCATATGAGCTGTCCATAATGCTTTGCTACATGTGTATTTCCTTCACAAGATTTTGTGAATGAGATTAATGGTCACCAGCCCTATTGAATATGGCAATGAGTACGAGCGAAATGATGATCCTTTGGAAATGTTGAGGTTGCTTTTGATCTGAGCAACTGGGATATAACATTTTGATGGTCCTGATTTGCATCTGTGTATGTGGACCAGGAAAGGCAAGATTCTCTAGACTTTGAACAGGCCTCGCAACGAAACCTTTAAAACCTATATTTCAACTTGGGAGCCTATTGTTTATTTGAAGTAACTTATGTAACTTATAAAAACAATAACATTAAGAACAATTTTTAAAGAAAGTGTTAAAAGTAAATTTGACCCACAGTTAAGTTTATTATGCCAAAACAACCACATTGTCAATATACCTTGATGATATATATTTGTACAAGTGTTTCAGATTTGAGCAGTTTGCGTGACATCTAGACAATTAGACTTGCATGTTGGAAACTCAGCATGATCATATATAGAAGTCAGCTGACAACACAATTTGCCATATTTCTGCTACCGCATGCTGAAAATTGCAAGCTTATTTTGGCCTTAAAAACACCTGCGTTATGATGTTTTACTATACCTTATAAATATTCATCAGGCAATCGCAGCATTTCATTGGTCCATTCCAGCAACCCAACCATGTGAAAGTTTTTACTATTTTCCCACATCTTCGTACGCGCGTGTGATGCGCAAAAACCAGGGAGGTACTATCACACACCTGTGTTGCAGCCTTAGATTTGTTGCAGTACTGTGTTATCTCTTTACCAACGACATATGCGCTTTACGTGCGTACCATGGAGAACACCAGTGAGGACAGCTGTGCCAGTCTATTAAAATGGTATACATCAAAATGGCGACTGTTGGTGCTTGCTTTGCGATTTGACCAAGGAGGAGTTGGGTGACATTTTACACGATAACAATAAATCCAGTGTCTTGTGTGAATGTTAAAGTTTTTAAATAACACAAAATTAACTTTCTATTCTGTTTGTCTCCTTAAATTAAAATAATGTTTCGCTTTATCCAAATACTGCACGATCAAAAACATGGTGGAATGGACCAATGAAATACCGCAGCTGCCTGATGAATATTTATGAGGTATAGTAAACCAAATACAACACGCTTTTGCGGGGAAATATTGAAAACAAATGACCCCTCGGTGTTGGATGATTGGGACTATCTCCCTCGGCAAGTCCCAATCATCCAACACCTCGAGGTGATCAGTTTCACTATTTCCCCACAAACCATGTTGTACTTGTTTGAAAACCTATTCAAAAACCTATATTGATGAAGAGGTGGCACTGTGAGACCTGATATAGATCTCTCTCATAGGACGCCATCTTCGTAGGAAAATTACAATTGCGTATTCAATGCCATCAGGTGTGTGTGCAAAACGTTCTAAACTCGTGCGCGTGTTGATCAAAGTTTCTTCGAAATACAGCGCAGCCGATGCGCGTCATGAAAATTTGATGCCCAAAATGCCGATGCATGTGGCAATCTGTAGTAAGTGCATCATTTGAGAGAGACCTATAGTCATTGCTGTATGTAAAGAGTTCAACCAAGCAGTAGCCAGTCATCAATACATTCAAATGTAGGCTAAAGCACAGATCAAGCAGTGCAATGACACAAGGAATACAGTCTTCACTGCTTTCTGCAATTCTCCTCCGTGGGTTTTGCCAGAGAGCCCAAGACTAAACTAAGTTTCCACATTTCACAGGGAGTTTTTAAAACCTCAGCTGGTCATTGTCTTCAGCTTCAGGAGGTTTTTTTAAACCAGAGACAAAGCTTGATAAATAGACCTGATAATTAAATCTCACCAACACTGCCAACCAACCTGGAACCAGCACAATCTCCCACCACCACTTTGGGAATTCCAAAATATTGTGATATCCATGGCTCATGAATAGTCATTGAGGTCGTGCACTATCGTTCTTTTTGTGGTTTTGAACCACCATTTAATATACTTTTTGGAGAGGATCAAGTGGAAATGATACACCACATTTCTGAGAGATGCATAAATTAATAACCCCAGCAGTGCAAATAGCGTGCCTGCAATGATTTATCGGTCAGGCAATATGGTCGTTAAAAACACAGGCAAGTGCATGCACACAAATTAGCACAAAATTATGCAGATTTCCATTTTTTTATGTTATTGACCTTCAGAAGGCACATCTGCAACCAATATTTATCACTCTGTTTGAGTGAATATGCAGATGATAATATTAGACACTACACAGTGTTCTTATGCAGGAGTTCTTGTGTGTAAGTTTAAAGCATGAGCACATTTTGTTGTAGATAAATCAAGTGGGTTTTTCAATTGTAAAGTTGTAATGGTGATGATGTGACCATTTTTGTTTATTTGAAAATCATAACAAGTTCAGCATTTTTGTTTGAATGCAACACATCTTCATCCTGGAAAATAAGACACAAATTAAAGTTTTTTAGATACATTTAACAGGATATATTTTGAAATACAGTAAACTTCCTGAATTAAGATTTTTGTGTCGCCTAAACAAAGTTTTGGGAGACACTAACCAGTCCTAAGTTCTGTATGACCGAAGACCCAAAGTTTTGGTTCAGTTTTTGAAGAAAAATGTATAACTTCTACATGCTTTCATGGATTTTGATGAAACTTACATGCCGTGACCCTTGGGTGGGAAGACACAATTCTTTGTCGGATTACTGAATTCAAAGGTCACGTAGGGGTCATTAGAGGTCATTGTTCAAATATGCTTCAAGCGTTTCTTTGTCTACAGAATTTGATGGATTTCAATTAAACTTAGATAGAGTGATCCTTGGGTGGGGGTTCATCACAAGTCTTCCAAAAATGGAGATCAAATGTCATCTAGGGGTCATTTGAGGACGTTTAAAAATGCACAATACTTGACCTTTTTTTTTTCAGAACAAAACATATAGGGATCGACTGCAGAAAAAAGTTTAGCAAACAAAATTATTTGCTTCAAAGCTCAGCAAAGCTTTCATGCATCAGAAACTGCCAATTTCCTTCTAATGCCCAATTAATTTGGCATTAGAAGGCAACAGAATCTGTATCGGTTCAAAACTATGCCTTCTGGAGACATCTCCATAGAATTCCATAGGCAAAGAGTTTAACTTTTTACACTGGCCTGTATGTTATTCCCTTCTTGAGTACTTTTTGAGACTTTAGCAGCTCTCTGGTCATTAAAATAGTGTTGCTACTTACCAATCCACCCCCGCCCTCCTCAAATGCCCAAATCAGTACAGCTGCACGTCAACTTAACCACAAGCAACAAGAGCGTTATGCTCATTTTATGGTTCAGTGATGTCTTCCACATTGTTCTATTTCTTAGCTGCTGGATACCAGCTCATCAAATCATCCTGTCTCTCTATTAGCCTGTTAGTTAGTTAGTTAGTTAGATGGTAACAAACGTTGACATTGTCTATTGCTCCTACCTATTTTGACCGATTTCAACCAAACTTTGTCAAATGTATCAGTAGCTCAGCCCCAACATGTCACATGACCAAACATGTCACATGGCTGCTGTCATAGCTCATGCATGAACACAATTCGGTTGGCCGCAGCTTCCGAGTATGCTTTAAGCCACCTGCAGGTTGACCATGCGACGACACAGAACATTTTGCTACTGACTTTTCAGGATCAAGCTGCTGCTGAGCTACGACCGTTGGAAACATATCCGTTGCCGATTTTTTTTTTCACTGACATCAGTTGGCACAAAACAAACAAAAAAAGTAGAAAACAACACAAAAAGTAGAAAAGTTTTAACTTCTGCACCTCAAAGGAAACTTTTCGCAACAGGTAGGAATCAATCGCAGTTGACCTGTGTGGAGTTATGATGTCCTGCACTCGTCCAGATCATCTCATTTTATTTAGCTTGCGGAACAGTTTTATAACAGACGTGGACAGATGTGGAAGAAGATCATTTGTGTTATGGGAGGAGAAAACCCACTGTGCCATTGGTTCGTCGCGGCACAAGCAACTTGCAGGCTGACCTGAGGCCTGCTGTATAGTGTTTACATTCCTCAGTGTGGATGTAAACATAAGTGTTTAAAGTTTGTAACTATTTCCAGTGACTTCCAGATGTGAAATATTGGGTTAAAAATTGCTTCTACTTATATAGGATCTCTTTAATTTTTTGTTTGTAACGTTATTTTGACAAATCAAAATTATAAATTTGTTCCCAAAACAATGCCATTATTGACATTGTATTCAAAACTATTCTAGATACAGAAGTGTCACCTCCGAAACAAACCTATCTTGCTTCTCCACTTTCTTAGGGTGTCCTTTTTTTATTTCTATGATTCTCCTTTTTATTGCCTCTGAAGTAGGGTTGGTCGGTAAACAAAAAATATACATCTGAAGACAACAATTTGCAGTTGCACCCATTTAGATGGCTAAATCAAATGATGCAAAGTGTGTATTGTCTCTCTTTTATTGTAAAGAGTTTATCATGAGTTGATATCACTCAGCAAAATATTAAGTCAGTTGTTGGCAAGATGTGTTGACTAGCTCACTAACATTGTGGTTTGGGGTCCTGAGCTCAAAATGGGGTTGGTTCGAAATGAGAACCAAAGAATTACAAATGAGTGCCCTTATGGTAAAATCCTTGATGTACGTGTATACATCAAAGATGCATGTTTGTATTTTGGCCCCAAATGGAGCTTTTGGTGACAGTTGACTGTACTTTTGCCCACGTTTGGCCGATAATACTCGCCAAAAATCTCTTTAGATCCCTTGCGTCCCTGCTTGCTTGCATAATAATGAAGGCACTTTTGCCCCGCTCCTCTGCATATTGTGCTATGCCCTACCCCCCTCATAAACATTTATATATTCACACTCATTAATTTTCATGGACTTTGGGCAGAGGAGCGATGGATCACATACATGATCTCACTGACAGTGTGTGATTCCCACCCGCACATAAGCGCTGAAATATGCCAGAGAAACAACAGCAGATATCCCAACTGCCTCCCGCCGTAACGCTCACACCATCTTTTGGGGGATCCACAGGAAAGAGGAAAAATTGATATCCCATGCATCTAGCTTAGCCACCATCTGTTGGCTGTGCTTGCCATAGTCATTCCACTTTTTTTATGAGGGTTTTGGGGAAGGTTGAAGCCGACTAAAATACCACCGCTCGGATGGTTTGTCACAGGCCGGCAGACGCCAACGTGTCTGGCTCTGGACGCTAGCATGCTAATTCTAGCCGGACCTTTGGTTGTAGACCATACACCAACGTGTCTGTTCTGGATGCTAGCATGCTAATTCTAGCCTGACCTTTGGTTGTATACAATACGGCATTCTGCATCCAGTTGATCCATTATGCAACGAACTGCCCATCACCACTTGTGCACAGGCACACACAAAATTGTTTCATTCTCTTATAGAGCAATACACAAAACATATTGTTGCAAAAATTTTACAAATTTAAATGTACTGCATAAGGGCTGAGCCGAATATATTGAATATTTAATAAGTTACCGAATATCCAAATTGCATTTTATTACATGGAATATTCAGAAAATGTGAGCGGTTCTCGAGAAGATGATGAAAAATATCTGATGTAACTTTAGTGGTATGCATTTAAGTTGAGGGGTTTTATTCCTAGTTAAATGCCAAATTTTAACAGTCAAATTTACAGGTATGATTTTAAAACTTCAGTTTTTATTTAAATCATTATAACTGTCAAATAATTATCCATTAGTCAGCTACGTCAAATAAATATATCAATACACACATTATACTCTTCTTTTTTCACCTTAATGTTAATGTTCAAATATTCATATATTCGATCAATTCCAAGTGAAAATAATGAAATATTAAATTGTACAGAACTACTACATGAAGGCCTAACCACATAAAGAAAGCAGTATGCAGGCATCATTTTCTTATTGTAACTTCCTTCCCCACACCTAAACACCTCCACCCCACCCACTCACCCCTGCTCTTACTTTGGATAAATTGAGCTATTATATTTTCTTTTTGTGTGTGTGTGGTTTCTGTTTTTCATATTTTTTTGTTTTCAAATCCAATTTGTACCTGTCTTGCATTGGGCATTGAAGGTAAACCATTGTTGTTCCAACTGAAACATGAAGAAAAGAGATTGGAAATAAGATGCACAAGATCCTGAATCTCAGACAATACAAATGTAAGGGGAAAAACCTGAAATGAAATCCCAGAATAACTGTGCATCAAAACAGCGCATTTAAAGGGTTTGTACTTTTTCCTCCCTTTTTCAGTACTATTAAATACATTTGAGTTCCAAAAATACCTCGAAATCCTCATATTTTTTGTTTCTCACCATGAAAAACTGGGGGGGGGGGGGGGGGTAATCCAATAGCTCATCCCCCTGGTCAAAATGTTGGGGGGATATATACCCTCCATCCCCCCAGGATTTACGCCCTTGCGTGGCATGCTTGCACAAGTTTGCAAGCACGTATGGCAAGAAGTACGTGTGACGAATTCTCGCACGAATGTGCACACACCCGAAGCGTACCTGTATGAACCTGTAGCATCTGTGTGAGAGAGAGACACACAAAACTGAGTGTGCAGGATGCTCAGGGGGCCTTCAACAGTTGCGCTTTGCATTTCTTACCATTAGGGGCATAACTAAGCACAAATAGTTATGGTTAAACACCATGCACTTTCAATTCTTTTCTTCTACAAAGTTGCTCTTGCATTAGTTAAAATGTGCTGTCCATTGTTATCTTAAAATATGACAACCCTTCTCCAGCCAAATGAACCATGCAAATTGTTTCATAGACTCAAGCATAATTTCTAGGGTTATTAAAAGTCCCAAAACGGGGCTTCAAAACATGTTTGTGTTGTTCTACAGTACCAATTCTCCTAAATTGTAACTGATGCCTAATATGAAAGATTGGTCAGCATAGAACTCTATTCTAAGTCTAGACTCAAGTATTTCATTCAGTTTTGTTTCGAAGGTCAATGCATTCCGAAAAGAAATTTTGAAAATACAAGTCCTTTTCCTTGCATTTTCCATTTTTTTTTATATCACCAGAAGTAAGCCGTGTCTCTGACGGCAAAACCATCAAAGGCTTTTCCTACCTTGGCAGCCAGGCCAAGCTGACCAACTCAAGAACAAGAAAACTGAGTCATGCTGTGGGGAAGTTCTGTCAGTGCCCGGAGAGAGTCAATACTGCAGAGGGGAGGGAAAAACACCCACAGGTTGATGGCAGGTTCTACCGCATCTCAGCCGTCTCTGGCCTGAAAAACATCTCAACCGAGATAGAAAACTCACTGCGTTCACAACGAGGTAAAAAGATCTGGACTGAGTCCTGATAAGGCATAATAATTCCTGAGAGTACAAATTTGCTCAGCTATGTTTTGGCTGAGTAAATTGCTAAGCCAAAAAGACACCAGCCAAAACTTGATGTGAAGTATATTCTTCATGACTTGTATCAAACTGATTTTGCTGATTCATATTTTCTGCTTTGCTGATTCAATAATTGGCCCACCTTGGGAAACAAAAATATCATTGCAGAGGAGTCCATAGTCTTATTATTAACTGTTTATTGTATGATTTGCATAAAAAGGTTGACAATTCTTAACATCTGTCAAGATACAAAACAGTAAACGTGAAGGTTGAAACACTACGTGAACCAATCAAAGGTGCTCTGAAACTTGAATGGTAGTTTGTCAGGAAATTATAAAGAACATTTAATACGTAGTCCCTTGCATGCACTTTGTTGGCTCAGTCAAGAAATATCAATAATAGATCCGAATCATCAATACATAACAATTGCAGACCTGGACCAGTCATTTGATCCCTCCCCCCCCCCCCTTCTTTCTGTCCCACAAGTAGTTGCAAACCTTCAGAGACATTTTGATTGCGCCAACACCTCGGCTTGACGCCGTCTGATGTCAGCGCACTCCATTATAAAAAAACCTTTAGCTTCTTGAAAATTGCAGTGACCGGTAATCATACTGTGTCAGAGGTGGGAACCACCTGGTTCCCATTTAGAAGTGCGGGCTGCTCCTGAATCATCTCCATCACACTCCCCTTCCAGCCTCCGATTGCTATCATCCTTCCCTCTGCTACCCCCTCATCCTTCGCCCTGTTTCCCACATGACGCATCGTCCTGTCCCTAATATCAGCGGGATGATGCTCCCTGCTCTCGACACCTCGGCTGCGTGGCTGCCACTTTTGTTGGCACGCTTCGTCGCGCCGGATCCCATTTGGCATTCGAGCGTCGTGCCACCGGCCGCATTTTGCACAGCCCCTTGTGCTGCACTAACACCTCCCCAGTGAGAGCCATGTCGACACCTGAACCAACTGGGGGATAAAGCTACGATGCCAAGGCCAGGATTTCCAAAAACATGCCTTTCTTGAGAACAGCGTTCATATTTGACCTTGACTATAAGAATCTTTCCGCATGTTTTGATTTTAGTGCAAAAGTTTGTATGGAACAGAAATTATCAGTAGTAAAATCGCACCCGGTGTGGACTGAACCTGTTGCATACCAAAAAAACAGGGAACCAGTCCAAATCTCATGTGATGTACATGTCTATGGTGCTTGTGACTGAGTAACAGTGGATCTTGCTTTGCAACACCATCAAATCTATTGTGTAAAGGAGCCACAGCATTAAGACTTGCTACATATAGTTTCACCCAATGATTGATGATCCAAGTCAACATTACGTTGTGAGGCCAGTGTTACCTTACCAATTTGATGGCCACATTTTTCGAAATGTAGTTTCTTTACTGCATGGGACTCTTGGCCTTAATGTGTGTGTGGTCACAAATTGGCTAGTGGCCACATTTAGTAGGTGGCCTCCATGTATATAGTTTTCATGATGGCCTTTAAATTTGATACTCATGTTTTGCAGATGTTTTTTACCCTGGTGGCAGGATGCATCCCTCTGTGGGGCCACACTATAGACTAGGCCTGGGCGAGTAGTGGATTTTCCTACTCGAGTACTCGTAGAGAAATTACTCGCGAGTAGTTGAGTACTTGCGAGTAGTTTACCAAATTCCCATAAATACAGAAAATATGGCATAAACATTTCTAAGAAGGAAGTTACTATGAATAAACAGCGTGAAAGACAAACCACATTCTTCAGCACTGAGATACCCTTACCTTGCAAAACTTTGGCTCATTTTACTTGAACATTTATTTGTTAACAGAGCTAGTGGAATCCCAAGGAAGCAGATGGAGGTACAGTAGTGACTCTTTTATTTCGCGAGAATTAAGACAAAAGACAAGTTCGGGTGCAGAAACCGCACAAAGTGGTTAGGGCAGCACTTTTAAAACAAAATTGCTACTCACTAGTACCTACTTCTACTCGTGTCAGGACAAGAAGCTCGAGTAGATAAAAAACCACGAGAACAGTGATTAGCAAACACTACTTGCGAGTACTCGGGGTACTCGCCCAGCACTACTATGGACACATTGAGGTGAAAAAATTCAGCATGTGATATCAGGGGGGAAAACATACAAATTTATGCAAAATGTGACCTCTTGGGCACAAGAAAATGTACTCTGCTTCCCCTGTCCCCATGCCACCCTTCCCCTTCCCCATCACTGAGTATCGGCACGTTCAGCTGTGGGTATTAAGGATTGAAGGCTCATTAACACTATGGCAGGCCACGGAGTTGTTGGTGTGTGGATAACGAGGATGGAAGTGTCTGGCAGCACTCCGACTCGGGGAAGAAAAATGACTGACTGGCCCATCACTCTCTCGTTTCTATCTGTCTGACTTGCTCTCCTGGAAACAGTGCTTTAACCGTTCACTGCACAATCTTTTTCCATTCATCTGCATTATTCATTGCATATGTACATTGTAGATGCATGTATGTACATAGAAATAGGCTAAGAATGTTGGCCTAGATTCCAGCCAACATAAAGCTCATTTCTGAACATGCCATGCACCCTGCTAGCTCGTCCTCAATAATGACATGCAAAAATCATTGCTTGTTTGTGTCCCTGATGCAAATAGATTGATGAGGGGAATGCACAGATGTGAAAAGGCACCAGCCAATCACAATGTGTCAGTGTGTACGTGTAAAATACCCTCAATTATTATGCAGAGAGTACATGGGCAAGTTTGATTCAGGACCACTGGTGGACTAGTTGTTGGTTCTTGATGTATGTTGCACCCTCGTGGTCATATCAAGATGCAAACGTCTCTTGTCCAACGATGGTTGGATATCATTAAAACAAATATCTTGATCCTGGCTCCCTGCTGTACATATTGATATGAAAGCTATTGGTAACCAGTGATGTGACCAACAATGAAAGGCGTGATCCTGAATTGTCTTGTAGACTGTTCCAAGTGTGGTTGACTAGCATTGTTCAAGTGAAGTTGGTCTAACTACGGATAACGACTAGGGGTGTGCATTTACAGGTAGTACGGTAACCGGGTACCTGATTAAAAAAAAAAAACCAGGTGTACCTGGGTACCTGTTAAAAAAAAACCCAAACCCAAGTTGCTGTTCAGATTGTTCATGAAGGTCCGCACAATAATACTGCAGCAAGATACAACTGCAACTTTCCCGAGTGTCATAATCATGAAATATACTTTTTGTTTTCCCACGTAGCCTGGTTTTCATTTTTAAAATCCCCCACAAATGACATTCAGAAGCTTTCTTTTTCATTGTCTGAGAAGTTACCAAGTAATTTGTAAAGTTGGTTATTACTGGTACCCGATCCCATAATGTGGAACTGGTTCCTGACATTAACAATCGGGTATCCTGGTACCCGGTTCCAGTGCACAGTTCTAATAAGGACAATTCTCACTCGTACTTGCTTCATTATTGCAACATGTGTCCATGTCTACCAAGTTTCTTGGTAATCAATTGAGCTTTCCTTGAATATTGTTAAATATTGATTAGGAATTATCAGATGGTTTTCTCTTCCAGAATCACACTTGTTTAGATTACACTTAATTTACAGAAAGCAAAAATAGTTGTGAACCAACCAAAACAGCATACATTGTATGGCATTTGAGTTGGTAACCCCTGTTTGATTCCTGCGTCTTACAAACTGCCCTATGTTGAACTTTTTTGGAGAGCTCTGCTTCAAATCTCACTTGATAATGACTTTTGCTTTGGTCTCTGTACATTTTCGTCATATTTTGGCCTCTGTTTTTCCTTTCTTTTTTTTGGCTCTGAGTTCTGTGCAAATGACTGTGAGTGGCATTGATCCTTGCATTTAAGTCACATGTCATATTGTGTTTTTCTGTATCTTGACACAAAGCTATACATGTATGTTGTTAAATCCCAACTGATTGATATGGCATTCTCAGTGTTGGAAGCGGAATTGTTAAAATGCTTACAAAATACCTTCCAAGTCATCTCACATGGTAAGCCACAGCAGACTTGCGCCTCTGCGCAGATGTCGTGGGGGAAAATCTAACAGGCAGTCTGTGGCATGCGTGTCAAGATGTCATACGGCGTCTAAGCCTCAATCCATCTTCTGCCAAACTTATTCAAATTGAAAAGTGCAGCCCATCAAGGGAAAATTGTCCCTTTGGCTCTCCCCTAGCAGGTATATTATCATTAATACCACTCGCGTTAGGCCTGTTTGTCTTCCTCTGGGGTACCCCTTGAGAGAGGCTAATATTCTCTGCCTGTCTTCTCTGAAAACTGCTCACTCCGTGCAGGCAAGCATGTCACGCCACCCTTGGTCATTCCCACAAATGGCTGCCCAAATGAGTCCATGATGACTTATTGTTTTTGTCACCAAAGTCGATTTGTGAGGGGCTTTGGAGGTGAAGGGGGAACTACTTGCCTCCATCTGTGCTGGCCCGTTTGGTTGAAAGACAGGGGGAGGGATGGGATTAGTGCTGACTTGGGGATTGAGCAATTGAGCCAAGGATAATTGGTCGTTGCTCACTGCAACGGACCATGTGTCATTTGGACCCCATTGGCTGGGCTTTATTGATATTAACTTTATTTCTTGGCGGAATGGGGCTTGTTGTAAGTGGGGGTGGCACAGAAATTATCAGGAGCTTTTTGTAAATGACACACTACTCGAGACATGGCCCAAGTGGAGGGAAGAAGGTGACAGTTCAAAATTGTGGAAACTTTGGTAGATTGTGAGGTCTAGGGTTGAAAAAGTCACGTCTACATTTAGTTTTGTATCATGTTCTTGTTTGCCACCAGTTGGGCAATGGTTGGTACAATTCTGTATTGAATTCAGGAACCAAAGCCCTGGGGTTGTTTGTTACAGCTGAATGTTTGATGTATAGGTGTTTATTATAGTGATGTTCCATTGTACATGAAAATGTAGCTGGAAACTACATGAAGTCACA